AAAACTCCCCGTTCAACCTGTTCCGAAGTTGCATCGTGCTCCGCTAACTACCGGCTAGCCGATTAGATTTTGGGCCACGAGCGAGCTGCACGCGACGATTGTCACGAACGCAAATCTACCGTTGTAGTTAAAAACGAAGCCCGGTTTGAATGTTAATTGAAATCTAACCACAAAACATAGTTGTACCCTTACAACTTTGACGCATCATTCGACACGAACGTGCACAAAGTGTAGCCTTTGAACGTTTTTCAAATAAACAGAGTACCGTCGGAAGCTGTTCGCTCCATTTTAGATATCGGAACCGAACAAGCTCCGATTTGCGACCATACGGTTGACGGTAAAACTACGAGAATAAGGTTCGCGGACAAAGTTCCGAACTTCTCCTCCACATATGTAAATGCCAAGAGGAATCTCTTATCAGTTTCGCTTACATTACGACCGCAGTCTTCACCGCAACTGCAATATTACTATTTAAACGACCGTTTCGTATCTGTAAAGTCAAAAGTGTTAAACATTTGTACTGGTAGTGTTCTAAGTAGGTATTAAAAACAGGTGGATTGCGAAGTAATAAATTGTTAAGGTTTTTTTCCTAAAAAAAGGTTCGACACGTTTTTTCTTATATTCATATCATATTTATAATATTACAGTTACATAATAGTATTTGCTATATGAGTAGTATTAAAGAAGTTTACACTCGTGATCCGAAGAGGGTAAAATTTAGAATAGCGGCTGATATGGGTAGCGGGTAGGTAGGCGTTGGTAAACTTTAACTCAGAACTACACATAACTTCGCCGTTGCTTTGACTATTTAATCGTATCTTCATCAGCTAGGATAGCTTACCATAACAACGAATAAAGGTTACGACTTAGGTTCTTAACGAAAAGTAAGATATTGTCTGCAGTTTACGCGCGTATTAATTTATAACACTAAATATATTAATGTTATAAATGAATACGCACAATTACAATTCATTATAACAACGGTGCGACGTTTCACACGCACGTGGGGACAGGTTACCTGATAAATTATATTACGTGATTTAAACCATTAAAAGTGTTTTATTTAAACGAGAACAGTATCAGGTTACCGGTTCCTTATACACATAACGAATTCGTTATAATATAATTAGGTCTAAGCAAGGAAATTAAGTTTCACGATTTATTATTGCGCGTATGATCGTCCGGGCCGCCGACAGGATCAGGAGCGACCGAGGTTTAATGAGATCGATGGCCCGACTCGACTCCGCTCCTAGTTTAGCATTTTAACACAATCGCTGCTAGCCCTTAGTTCTATTCCTTTGGAACTTTTAATTAGTTTGGCAACATGTATTCAGGTGGTGTGAGAACGGGCCGAATAGACTAAAGCCCTGGCGCTAAATCCTCCTTTATTAGTTGCCAGCACGAAATACTCCCAACGTTAGCGGTCCCTATCTCTAAATCCGGGATAAAAGGATTATGAAAATTAGTCGTGAAAAAGAAGCGACTTTGCGGGAACTTATTTCTCTATCCTCGTATACAGTCAACTGAACTGAGACAAATAATAGACACAGATTAATCCACTTACGTAATAAATTTCATTTAGTTGATCGTTTTTTGCTGTGCAACTGTTACGTAAATAAATGAAGTAAATGCTCATATTTGAGGTATTATGTGCATACTCGTATGTATGTGTTATATTGAACCGCCGACTGTTTTCCTGCGTTATTATATCGAATAAGAGAATAAAAATTCTGAAGTGACATCAAAGTCGGGAGTTAACAAGATCTGTAAGGGTGTAGGCTTACTCGAGCACATCAGAGCGAGGGCTCGTAGAGGAAACAGGTGAGACGACAGTTGGCGAGCATGGGAACTTCAGTTATAAACATCGACTCTGTTATGCAACGCTAAATTCTATCAGATAAGCTAGTTTTAAGTAAGCTTTGTGTATTATTATGTATTTAGTTACATAACTTTATCAATCGTGTTGTATTGGCGTTGTAGATCGAGACAAGTGTACGCCTACACGCGTGTCGGGAGATTGTATTTCTGGCGCCACAATGTACTTAACACTCTTAAATAATTATCGCTCTTTTACGTGAAAAATATATAAAAGCTACGGTGTTTTATGACGGTCGTTCGTTTGTGATATCTAGCTGTGACAAAGCAGCGCGTGCTACTTCGTTACAATAAAGACAATAACGTGACATTTTAATGAGCCACGCACATAACTAACGATACACATTGTAGCTAACTGTGTTAGATTATTTCAGGCACGTTAGGCTGCGCCCTCAAAATGAAATACGTGAAAGTGGCCCGCCCGATCGAGTACGTTTATACGACATTAAAATATAAAGAACAGCAAGCCTATTTCAATACGTACGTTTTTATATATGTACATTCAAATAAGTGTGTTTCCTGCAAAATCCAAAAAATAATTTCCACGTGCACATCTTTTAAGACATGCAGACGTTATACATCATTCAGCTTCACTTGTAAATATGTAAATACATACAAATGTTATGTAAATGTATGCAAAGCTTCATATTGACGCGTCACATGACATTTGATTGATAATCGTCGTATACGTGTGCAACGAACGAATAATATTGCTCTAAATATTAATGCTAAATGATAAAAAAAATATTGTACGTGAAAAAGGCTACTTCGGGTGATCGACCGGACCATTAGCATAGTGTTGCTGTCGGCGCGATTACGCAACGCATCCCGGCCGCATTTGAATTCCAAATTATATTAACATGAAATTATATTCATACATTATTAAATCCAGTGAACCGTGCCGTGACGCGTCAGGGAACGTCCGGATTACTAACACAGCGCCTTCGTACAAATATTGTGTGAGACTAGCCGCCCCCGACGGAGTTACCTGTGCCCGACACATAAAGAAAGACTGCTTTGTAATTCGCCATAAAACACAGAACAGCACACAGCTTTCACATACCCTTTGGCGGATGTGTGTATAGCTTCACCGAAAAATGCGTTGCGCATTTTAATAGCGCGCTAACGTTCTTTCGAGGATCGAGACAGGTTACAACGGACAGACGGCCTCGATGTCTTTAGAGTTTTAAAAGTACAGGCTAATATTATTATTTTTTGCACTTGATTAGGCTGCCACAAAAATATGGCCACGACAATTTCTTTACAATACACTATCACTAATTAAATCGGTCTAAATTGCGGTTTCATAAGGCGAAGTTCGTTAGCACTAAATTAGGTAGATGAAATCTGCTTTTGACCGTGGATGGTCCGCGAACTTCGTGCCAGACGAGGGCCCAAACTGAGAACACTACACCCAATGATCGCGTTTTGAACTTGTGAATAAACGCTTACCACAGGCTTATTTAGTATTACTCTATTGCTGTCCAATAAAGTACATAATATAAAACAATATAACCCGAAACGTAATAAGAAAACCTCTTAAATGTGAAGGATATTCGAAGAGTTTTATCTAAAAAATTTTAGACGATATGGAACGAATACGGAATACGGAATGAAGTTAAAATGATTATCAGTGCGAACCAAACGATTGTTTAGATTTATATAATTTCCTATAGGACGCGGTAAAATGTAATGTATGTCTGAATGAAAACAAAAATCAATATATTCGGGTTAAGGGAAATGACTAACGCTACTATGATTTAAGATAATGAATAGATTCGCCGGGCTGGACGAAAGGTAACGCAATTGACCAAAGGCAAGTTGGAGCGGGGACTATAAATAAGTTATCTTACGGTTAGTCCGTAATTGCGTTGTCAGTTCAGTTTTTACTCTACGCTCACTAACAAAAGAGATATTCTTTGCCGTTCTTTGTACAAACAAAAGTGATAGAGGCGGATTGCGACGTCGAAACATAATACGCATTTAGAATTTTAGAGAATATACACATGCCTTTAAAAATGTAAATAAGCTTCGACAACAGTTTCGTAAGATTTTTGCGTATACATGATTATGTATGATATCAAGAATTAGCAGCTGCCTTAAATTTGGCTTACACAAAAAATAAAATGTTAAATTGATTGTTTACGTACGTTTGAGCTTTATTTTGAGAGAGTTCTTAGGACTCCAGGTCAGAAGGCCCGATATGTCAACAAAGCCTCTCACACTCATTTACTGCGTAACGAGCACACAATGTTCGACAAACTCGATCCGTTTCCGAGCATCACACACAAATGACGACGACACATCGTCACAGGTTTACTTGACCCCGGAATAAAATGTTCCCTATTAGAACTACGATACAATAAACTGGCGCACGGGCAACTGTCCTTTAGTACCGAAACTTAACTACAGTCGGCGTCCGAAGCGCGCAGAGAGAGACGAATGCCCGTTTAACAATGCGTGAGAGGAGAGCAGAGATACCAAAGGCTTTTAAGCTCCGCACACAGCTAGTAGGTGAGTGGGTGATGTAGGCCCGATCTTTTGTTTATTACATTAATGGCAGCGGTGTCGTTGTTTATCGCTCCTTATGTATGCAGCGAACATTACGCGGAGTGACTGTAGCTCGGCATTTGGAGCGTCGTACGTCTCTAATGTATAAATATCCATGTGTCTAGTTAGAAATGTATTTCTTTGCCTCTCTTAAGAATGGCCCCTTTACTTACGCGTCTACATTTCACGAAGTGTACGCACTACGTACGTAGGCCCCACCGCAAGGTTAGCGGCGGCGCTCGAGGGTTAAATGTCGAGTCCCATCAACGACACACTGAGCGCGGGTCAGAATAATCGAGTCTACTGTAAGTTATTGTGCCTCATCTGACCCTTTTCAGATGTCACAGCGATACGCGTTTATTTTTACTTTTTCTGCTCTTTTATTACAAGAGATAGCGTCTGTCCGTCTTTTGTCTAACGTAAATGGTGCCGTAAACTGGTATCGTTGGTAAGAGATCAGAAATTTCGGAAGAAATGGCTAAAAGTTTTACTTTTCCGACCATTTATAATTTAGTCTTAGTATTTTGTAGTCAATTATTTAATAGTTATGTAATAATGATATAAATAATGCAGATTTAATCTGCAACGGGACAGTTCAGCGATATAATTAGTGCAGGACTCGTTTGGTTGTAAGAAGCGACAGTCACTATGGCCAATGACCATGCAGAGATCCGGTCGCGACGACGCGCCTTTGGGAGACCACGGAGACCGGTTATGCTGATCTGTCCTCGAGTGGACTGACACACTGATGACGCCACCGCTTTGATTACATTGCCCTCTGCTAAATGCATTTTGCGTAATTCAATTCAAAATGTAACGATGAGGCTAAGTAGCAGGTTTTTATGTAGTAACTGTTCTAATAAACAAGATTGAATATACTATTTTAGGCTTGAAATTAGTTTTGCATATCGAAGCCGTGCTTTTTTGCAAAAGATGAGATTAACGATCATTTTCCTTATCAAGGAATTACCTCGTATTCATTAATTACGATAAAGGGTTTAATGCAGTGATTTTCGCAAAGTATAATGTCAGTAACGAGTTCCCTTTAAATATAACGAGAAGGTAGGTAACTAACATTAACTCCCGACGTGCTGGAGGCTCTCTCTTAATGGCGTTATATTCACTTAGCACTCGGGGGAACATGACGCCAGAAATAGCCACATCTGCCGGAACTACATATATTTCTCTAATTGTCTCGTTTCAAATACAAAATATGAATTTTACGTCACATCGCTTCTAACAATAATAAACGTTTGCGCCTACTAAAAGTAGCGTAGCAAAACTGAACGCAATATTTTTGCTTTTGTGAGTGCTTAAGGAACGACCGTTTACTTGACAGTGGCCGTGCTCACGGGGCATCAGTTAAGAAATGTAAACCGTTCGAGGTGTTTAAAATAATATAACGAAATCGTCGCGTTCGGATAACACGTTATCGCAAACGTATGAAACATTAAAGCGGAATACAATTTAACGCTCAAACTGCCATGACTTTGAAATTCGCAGCCATCCATCACACCTTCTTAGACTTTCGACACTACGTCGCGATAGGATTAGATCCGTGGATAGTGAATTCAATTCCTCGCCGACGTACGGCAGCGAGCATCGTGCTTCCACGAAACCTAGCAATCAATCTTCATAGATAACGTCGGTACAATTTATTACTTGTAGAAAATAACAATTGTTTGATAATTTTTATAACGTCTGCAAAGCGAGTAAAGTTCATTTATATATTCTTCACACATGGCTTTTATCAAATCTACTCAGTCAATACTTCCTAGACAAACTATATAAATTTAATTCAAAACATAAAAAAGTATCCACATTGCGTAACTATCAATAATATCTGAATAGTAATTCTTAATGACTTTCGTTTAGACAATTGACTTATCTTTAAATTCATTTTAGCGTGAAATTGTGGTGTTTACTAAGTCAATTTGACGTAGTTCATTAGTTCAATACATGATGCAGTGTCTTAAAGTGTTTTTAGTGTAATTCACTTAAACTCTGTGAGAAAAATCACGATTTTATAAAATTTACCCAGTTAGGAAAAAAACTTGAATTTGAGAACTACGCCTCTTTATTCATTCGTATTTTCATCAAGAAGTAATCCGTCTAATCCTAAGAAATAAAAATTTTCAAATCATAAAGCTATATAAATATTGTATACTTGACCTACAGTAAGAAACAACAATGAGTACGGGCAAACAGATCGACCAAATGCCATATAAATGTGATTAGGTACGTAACTCAGATGTAATTTAATATGAATAGGATAAGTTCGAAAATAAAATAATAAAGAAGCGAACTTCTTTATAGGTTATAACTTTTATGAAATTATTCAAATGTTTATTAAAACTTTGGAGGGATTTAATGTGGGAACATTCAGTTGCGTTTTTTCTCGAGAATTTCTTCTTGCATAAAATTACACGAATCAATTAAATTATAATCAACACCTTAGCTAGTCTTATTTCTTTCCTAATAAACAACACTCACGTTTTGAAGCTGAAAGAGCTTGTCATTCATATTAAAATCAGCTTTTCCTCCAGTGCAATGAAAAGCTTATTGTTTACGCAATAAGAGGCGGCATAACTCGGCGGCGCGATTATCATTTCAATGACTTTTTCGCTTCTTCTTGGCGCTTTATTTCTAGCGTTCCGACTTTAGGATAATATTGTTTTTATTCCGCGTATAACTTTGTGGGAAATTACTAACCGGCGTCAGGGTAAAGTTAAACTTACCCACTGATAAATGATGCGCATTGTAAGGCATTTGTGTTTACTAAAAATACTGAAGCTTTTAGAGCCGTTTTTATTGGTTTATTTCGATCGGATTTCTATCTCATAGTAGTTAGTGATTGACTTTAACTGGAGAATAAATATGACGCGTCTAACATTTGACGTGTGCTAATTGAATGTGGTTACAGAAAAAGATTAGGTGATTCATCAACGCCACGCCGCGAATGAAGAGCAAATAAGTATAGATCTGGTTTAGTTATACCATCACAAGCGATCTAAAACCAACTAACTCAACAAATCAACTTCTAACAAACTATTGTTAGATGTTGATTGTGCACTGATACTTATAAATTAAATAAATATACTTATTGGCTGCTTTCGTAAAAATGTGTCAATGCAATAATAAAACTTAAAACATATAAGTGAGGAACTTGTCCTGGTCGTACGCAAACGCGTACTTGATGTGTAAAATCTCTGCGAAGCACTCTGAAGAACACGTGGGGCAATCCGTAATCCGTGCATGACATATGAACAGCTCCCAGCGACCTCCCTCAGAGGGTTAGATAAAGGGCAAAGAGATTTCACGAACCCTCGTTTGTAATACCTTCCTGAGGTAAATACAATTTAGACTCGGTTTAAATTTGTTTACATAAACATGACTTTATCGGGAAGAACGCTATTACGGTAGGGGATAATATTATCACAATAGGCACTAACCGTAATTTCGTGAGACGATGTATTTCAGTTTATGGGTGTAGGACTAAGTCAGCAGCGTTAAGTCTAATATATTTTATTTTGATCACTTGGAACCTGACTCCAAGCCGCCGCAAGCCTCAAAGAGGTAAACGTATCGAGCAAGCTAACCTGCCTGAGATCGGTGCGCCTTCGCGCGACGGCCGACGGCGGGCGAGACGAGGGAGAAGGCTCGCTCCGGGCGGGGCAGCTGCAGGGCGAACACGCTGGGCTCCGAACGCCGACCTCCCCCTGCGGCCTCCACCACTGAGTCGATGCTGGCCGATCGCGGTAGCTGTGATGTGTCGCGCCTTTAACATAATGGGACACGAGTTCTATTAGAAAGGGAAAAATATTGTGAATAATATTTAATAACTAGCTGAGCCTGCGACTTACATTATTTTGGAGATCTTATTTATATTGCGCATTCTATTATATATTAATCATTTTCGCAAACCTGCTTATCCTCATAAATAGATAGCTATTACATGACATTCTAGACCTAATCTTTATCTTTAAAGATAGACATATACCGCCGCTGATATTTTTAAACCATTTAAAGAGAGTAACATCTCTTTAAATTACATAACTTTTCACAAAGAATAATGTTATCCCGCTGTTCCTTCGTTCCTATTGGTCGCAGCGTGATGTTTTATAGCCTAAAAGCCTATCTCAACAATCAACGAAAAAATTAACCTACAATTGTTTTATTCGAACTAGTAATTCCTAAGATTAGCGCGTTCAAACAAACTCTTCTGCTTTACAATATAAGTATCAATAAAAAAATCTTTATGGCATAATTCAGGCATTGTGCTACTATATATTAGAAGATAAAATTAAAATTATTCATTTTTTTTTTAAATTAAAGATAATTTTAATTTGGATATCTTATTCGACGACTAGTTCCCTTGCTTGATGTAAAAATTTAACAGTTTAGCAAAATATTGCTTTTTCCACGCGTTCGAAGCAGCGGACTGCAACTAGTAAACAATAAGAAGAGAAACGCCGGAAGGCCCCACGAAAGCCAGGGAGGTCGGCCCGAGAAGATTAAAGGTTTAGACAGGGAATAACGGGATAAAAGGGAGTTACGTCGCAATTAATTTCATTACACTCCATTAATATTCCACTACCTTACGCAAATATTGTCCCTTTCTGCATTTAACAGAATCGGTACGTACTAAATAAATATTGGCAATTAATTGTTTTTCCCTCGCATCGTCTTTTGGAGGCAGAAAATCGAACTTTGGAGTTATCTATAATGGTTTAACGGGCTCAATGGTGTCATGGTTGTAAAGTCTAATGATCAATGGGTCGGGTCGTAGGTGCGATCTCTATCTGGTCCAACGTTCGTCTGGAAATCTGGATAGTAAATGAGTAGTATTAAAAATTTCGGCCGGATCACGAACCAGCGTCCACAGATGTGAAAGCCGTGAGGTCAGTGGGCATTTCGGTTTCAGCCTGTAGAATTCCGAATATATAATGGCGAAATAGCTCGAGAGCGCATCTTGTTTAGATGTTATATGGCTGGAGTATTACATCTACGAGCAAGTGAACTTTTGTCTGTCCTCTCTCATAAAAAAGTGGCTTATACATTGAAACAAACGGCGAGTTGTTACGATGACTAGTTACCCACTGTGTACGCGGCGGGATAACGAACTCAAACGAATTTATCCGCTGCTGAAGAATGAGAGCTGGAGAATTGAAAACAACTCCATAAATTGTTCTTGAAAATGTTATTGCAATATTGATTCCGGTACTGCATTTCGTATCGTAGAAATAAGCATTTCAACTTAGCACTGCAATAATTAAGAGATAAATGTAAGATTAAAGTAATGGAGCTCTTACTAGTGCTAACCATGCACTAGTTTATACTACTATTAAGAGAAGAAGAGTTTGTTAATGGGTTGCACAGTGGCTGAACCAAAAGGAGCAAAGCAATAAAGGGAAATGTGAAAAGACCTCTCAAGGCTGCCGTTGCGTGTGCTGTGAAAACAATTCAAGAAACCAAAAATATGTATGTGTGTGTGATTGTTTTATTAAATGGTCTAATACTAATATAATGTCCTTTTTTTAAATTAACTCTCACCTTAGGTGACAGATATAAAGATTTGCAAAAATAGATAAATCGATGCCCAAAATAACTATTATACGCGTACGAAATCGCGGACACAGCCATTGTAAGATACATTAATCGTTAGATTTATTTCACTCTATGTAGCAAAAACTAACCAATTTTGCAGTCTTATAATTTACGTCATATTCACGTTAAATAAATGATGCTCTAAAAACGTGCATTACTTATGACTGTCTTCGTGACCTTGGAATACGAGGGCTCTTCTTGGGCACGGCTTCGACATCGCTTCTATCACTTCTATTGTTCAACTACAGATGGCACATCACAATCAGTGCTAAAGAGAACGACACAGAAAAAAGGAACAAAGACTTTTCTACGTCGATGATCACAAGAAAAAATTCGCAGCAAAATAAAAAGCGCCTTTCGAAAACAATACAAAGTGTTATACATATGCGTGCAGTATTTTCGATAAATGTTAATCAAGATTTACACTAAATAATTTAACGCACTATTTGACCGGCGTCGGAAAAGGTAAACATTCAAACAACAGTATCCTAGCGATACAGTCGAAGTGAAGCGGGTTCATTATTGTCGGTTATTTACTTAATAACTTGACTATAGGGAAAGTTTGCGGTTAATGAGAGACGCAGTGTTGTTTCTCTGCCGCAACAACATTGCGTACGCAATATTCGACTTTAGATTGTGTCATGCAACGTTACTATGACGCACGGTCGATGTCGTCAAGTGGCAGTGAGTAATGGAAATTAATGAATTACTGAAACGAGTAGAAAATTGTGCATTCATTTCGCCTGTCAGCGAGTGATCCGTCGAAGGCTGGAGGGTCGCGCACTGAACGTAATTAAACGTCAAGATAACGCCACTGGAAGCCGATACGCCGCGAAAGGACGGATACACTGATTTATCGCTACTATATACTATAAGTACTCGCTTTTTTTGATGATGATATTACAACAACGTTCTCCTAAGGTAAATTACCGTAGCACTATACAATTAAGTAAATCTAAAACATGTATTTTTAATCGTTACTCGGTTCAATATATCATTATCGAGAGGTACAAGAAGTAAAATCCACCAGTTGCTTAGGCCTGAAATAGTTCAAACTTTTACAAGTTCGTTCTGGAAGTGACACCCTAATTTGCCTAATTTATTGGATAGAACCGATGAGGACATAATTCAGGTCGAGAGATGGGTCAAGAAGTGTAGAAGTTTAAAATTATCCGTCGAGTCGGCAATATCGCAGTGTCGTGAAGGTCAAAGCTAGAAGAGCTGCTTAAGTATTTTAAGCTACAAATCTGCCGAGGTAAATATTTTGTACATTATCAAGAGTATCGCGTTATAAAGTTTTTCTTTGAAGGTAGTTTAAAACCACTCCTGCAGAAGACAACGTCCAATTTAAAATAAACTTTTATCATTTTTGTAGTTTCTCATTTATTTTGTACCGCTTTGAATGAGGAAGGTGTTATATTTAAAATTATGTTATGATTAGGGTTACAAATGTATTTGGTCAATTCTTCTTTTCGGAATTCCGTTCATTCCGTTTAAAAGGTTTATTCCCTCGGCCGATGACTTTTTATTTACACAGGATTCAAGTCTAACTTTTATGGAGCGAACGCTTGATTATTTTTTGTATTACGGAATATCTGAATATGAAAGCAAATTGTATGTACCGGTAATATACGGTCAGTAAAAGAGCGCCTACGCACTACGGCGTAGCGCCTACGTAGCAGCGTAGCACTTAGTCTACATCTCGTTTATTAGTGAAAAATAATTAGAGCTGAAATAATACAGATTTTTTTCAGTTAAAGTTAAAGATAAAACTGTAAGTGCTTGCATTTTGCCATTAATGTCAACTTGTACACTAATCTCTTTAAGACTTTTAAATCCACGCCTGAAAAATTTCGTTCGTATTTACGTAAAGTATTCCTAAAGTGAGGATTAAAAAAGCAAACTTAAGAATACATCGGTATAGAAAATACTCTTAGAGCCGGATTGTCAAAAGTTTTCTTTGTTATCGCGGATACGATACTAAATCGAGTAGAAATGTCCGCGCTGGATAGTTCCTTTTGCCTTTGTCCGTTTATTTTTTTCCAAAAATACATTTAATTTGTCGCGGGTCTATACTCTTTCAAAAAAGTAACTTGGAAAGTCGATCGCTATCACAATTACTACGCATTTAGGATATTGCTCTCGTCGTAGGAACTCTTTCGACGACTAACTGCGTAAGTATAAAAAAAATGTTTTACACGAGTAGGTTCAGTCGAGTTGTCGAGTACATTGAATGATATAAATATAAGAGGTAGACCAAGAAGTCAGTTTATTATTATTTTATTAATGAAGGCTGGTTGGTAGTGGTTTTTTAAATTAGTAATCATATTTCCACGAATAATAATCACAGACATTTTAATTGCATCGTTTGTGTGCAAGTAAATAATTATTTCCCGCGCAACTGCGACGGATCTGAAATTGAAAGTGTTCAAAACGTTCGCCACGCTCGTTCCCAGCGAAGCCGAAGCGCAACCGAGTCGTACAGTTTTTAATTAAAACTGCGATTGATTTTACGTTCTCTGATTAATATTTTATATTGCCCATAGTTTGTGCTCCCCGTTGTATACTTTTAATTACATTAACATCGGAGAGCTCTATTTAAAGCCGTATTTATTATGTTAAGCTATAGAAATTGGAATCCCAAGGAACCTCGTTAGTTTTCAACATTTAGGCTAAAACATTTTATAATATCCTTATAAAAGAATGCGGTGCACGTGTGAATAAACACACTCTTACACCCACACACTACAAAAACAAAAGTTGTGACGTCGCAACGCCTGGATGCAACATGCCGCCAAGTAGGTGCCTAACTCTAAACTGCGCACTTGACCCAAATAACTCGGGGCTCAAGTAAAATGATACGTATTCATAGAATTAAGTCGCCTCAAATGAAATACAGAACGTAAAAACTCTACGTCAATTTTAGCTACGCAGTTCGTTAATGTATTCGCTATTTCGCCTCGAGTATTCGGAAATCCGATAGTGATGTGACCGGCTGAGTGTTTTAGCCAGCCGGAAGCGTCACTCCGAGAGTGCACAGGGATGCGATCAGCCTCGTACCGAGGGCGTACAATGACCTGTCGCCAATTGTATAATGCCAAAATATTTGTTGTCTTGTCGGATTCTTGAGAATTTATTCTCCAATTAATGGTTATTTTTATTTGTACCTACCGAAAAGATTCTTCAAACAAAGTACAATTTGTAGTAACAAGTAGTCATCAAATTTTAAAATTGAATAAATAAATTGCGTGCAAAAAGTCCCAGTTAGTTTTACCTCTCCCAGCTGAGGCGTCGGGCGAAGTCGGCGGCCGCATGGACGTGTGGTGCCGTTCCGCCGGCAGAGCTTCGACCCTGAGTTAGCAGTCGCGCCAGCCGAGAACTGCTGCTGCTTCCACTCGTTCCTGTGCTCGAGACTGACCCGCGCGGCGTCGTCGACGGCACTCTAATAAAGTGTATAAATCCTAAGACAGTTCACAATATTCCTTTGAATAAATATAAAGCCGTCCCGCGGGAACAATACATTTGGAAATCGCGAACTTTCGCTTTTATGACAGCTTTTTGATATTCGCCCGAGACCGATAACTCTCGGACGGAACAAAGCGGAATGAACTGTCAGTAAACAGAAATTAAACATTATTTTATCCGTGTTGAAGAGAGTGTACATCCGATTGCGATCCGATCCGATAGTACATACTCGTATATAAAATGATTTGGATAGATTTGAATGATTTTAGCCTGGTCTCATTTCGATATCAGAATTTTTCTTGTGTGGTTTCGCGACGGCCCCAAATCGACAGGTAACAAAATGCTCGTTAACGTATAACGACGCCTTATATCTCGAGTATCCTTCTAATTAAGGGCGAATCAAACCACCCTCTACGAAGCTTTCAAACAACAATAAATAGGTGAGTCGTAAAACACAAGGGTGGGCTCGTAAAGCGGACCGCGGATATGACGTTTTTACGACGCTTCCGAATAAGTTCGTAAAACACCGTGTATAATTAAGGCCGAGTACCGTCTGATATGATAACGCGCTGATAAGAAAAAGACGAGTGATCGGGGACATCAAATAACATAATAGTGTTTAAAAGAACCTGAACAATATTTATTGTTAAATGTTATTAAAGCATTCTTTTACATTGAAATGTAAACAAAATATTAAGTATTACTACGAGCTCTGCCATTAAACGTGATTGTTACTAGTGTCGTTATAGTTTTTATCGAGGTAAATTCCTTAGTAATGTGAGGTCCTACTCCAAAAGTCAAAACGAGGTAAGACTAAGTAATATGGGGAAACGCTTAAGAAGCTACGTCGAGGCTAAGCCGTCAGATTGCGACGGCTTAATTACCGCCGCTATATCACTTAAATAATTATTCACGTAGCGGGGCTGCGCGCCGCCACCGCTTGATAGCTCGGTCGAATTAATATCTAACTTAAGAAGCTCGCAATGGCTTTGATGTCGGTCGTTTGGTCATTAGCCGAGCTCACAGCGAAGCCGCATCGATCCGAGACTGCATTCGATGCGAAAATTCTATCTGCCAGTAAGCCGAAGAATGTTTCAAAGCGATTTCATTTGATTGAATTTTGAATGAAAACAAATTAAAAACTAAAGCGAAACAAGTAAAGATGTAAGCAACATTAACCAAGGATGCCTTAGATCCCGCAAGTGCGTACGCGAAGTGCGTTAAATATGAAGAGCGTTGAGTCAGGACGTCGCATCCCGATTCCTGTTTGTAGAGTGCTGCTACACATCATTCACCCCGACGGCACCTCGCCCCGGTTAAACAAGTGAATAAATATTAGATTTAGCACTTGTGCTTGTCTTCTGGTGAGAGGCTTGGATCTGTTTAGACTAACGGAAAAGTTACGTACATACCTTTTTTAAACATCTAAATATACACATGTGATTATGTGTATGTGTGTAATTAATAGTCGTAAAGTCAGTGTGCCCACTACATGTTGAAGTAAGTTCGTACCCGACGCGCTTTTTTCAGTATTATTCCATCTCAAATTCTATTAAGGGGGAATCAATGTATACAGAAATCAGGAGTATGGAGCTGGACCGCAGGTTTTTACTGAGATTATTGAACTTTGTGATACAATAAGTAATTTCCAATTTAAAACATAACCAACGAATGCTCTTTCTTTTCGTGTAAGCTGTATTATTCCATATTTCGTTTCTTCACATCCGTGTGAATGTTTCCTATGCCAGCCGAGAGTCAATTTAATTGACATTTTCCTCGAGGCAGGGAAAGTAAAAACGGCTGAACGAGTAGGCTTTGAATAATGAACCGTAAGCGAAGACAACGAAGCGATTATACAGTCCTGACAATGTCTTTTTTAAGCGAGACGCCATTTCTGTTTGTCAAGACTTTACCCCAAGAACAATTTTCTTATTCGTTGCGTTGAATTAGCAACATTGCTGAAATATTGCTAAACCGCGAAAAAATACATTTTAAAAGGTTATTCGATATTAGTATTATGCGATAAAACCTGAAGCCACAACGTATCAATACGGAAACATTGCCTTTTGCTATTTAAAGTTTTAACTTGAAGGTCGTTCGGCTTCTGACCGAGCAGTCATTTTCTTTTCTAAGAATCCTCATACGAATTCAATTTAAATATTTCCGCTCATGTTTGCGAATGACTTCTCGATCCGACCTTTTTCTCTTTCGCGGGGATTATCCGAACGTCGCGCGTCGGTGCGGTACGTCGGCTTTCGCCCTTCGGCCGCACGTGGGCGTCAAACTCGCTGTGCTGGAATTGACGTTAATAAGTCCGTGATATTATTTCAAGAACACTCATATTATCTTGTTCGACGATCGTCGTAGGCAAGTAAAGTATCACGTTGCCCTGAGTTGCGTCAATTATTTTTCTTATCCCTTACACCTTACACTTTAAAACCTACACGAGCATAGTTTTCCCTTCCGTTAACGTATTCGTGTACATGCGTAGTTGGAGCTCATATTAGGTTCGTCAAAAGCACTTAAAAGGAAAACACATAAATCACAAACAAATAGAAATAACGTTAGGCAAATGAGAGGAATGGGTACGAATACGAAGCTAAATTGCTACACAAATTGAGTTGAGAAATGTTACGAAACAAATCTAATAACTACCTATCGAACGGGGCATAACGCTCCAAGGAAAAGACTGCTAATGATCGAATCGGATTTTTTTCGAACCCCCAAATCTATTTGTAAGGTTCTCATTCATATCTTCATATTTACTCAGGTTTTGAATAAGATCCGATTTTAAATAAAAATGCCAAATTTCTCGTTCGTGGTTCACAGACGTTGTGATGTGTGATTTTATGAAATTGGTAAACACGAGTGAGTAAGACATTACGGTGAGCTCTTTTATTCGCGACCGGTGGTCGTGATCTGGATATTTTTTTTGTATTAATTTTGGTTCAGATATTGATTCACAATCACAACGCTTCGGCCCGGATTAATCTACGACCTGTCGATATTCAGGACAAATTGCTATCCGTTGTGTTGTCTCTGATTTTTGTATGGGGTTGATTTTCGGGACAATTAGGATGGAAAACGCTCCAGGATCATCAAATATACCAGTGTATTCGAGTAGGGTACCTGTCGCCAAATAATCATGACGTTTATCTTCGAGAATCCCATGAGTCTCCTCTTACATAAATATTCATAATATAATTGAGCCGTATGGACTAAATATATTATGTTAATAGCGACTATTAAGGCATGCAGGTACGGCATAAGTTAAATTCATCAGAGAGTCGCCACTCTATAAAGCCGAGAAAAGCTAGCTAAGTGAATCATAATCCAGTTCGCACCGTAACGGGCGCGAACCACCCGGGCCCGCTTCACACCTACTCGTGTCTCATAATAATTCTCACTTTGCACTCATCTCGCCGACGAGATAATTTAGCAGTCACTTACTCTCATTGCTATGATTAAAATTTTCAAGGACTCGCTGTGTACCGACTTTTTCGTAAGAAACTTTGTATATTCCAACGTAAAAACGTTTAAAAATCTCATGTCAGACAAGAGCGAAGAATGCTAACAAACGGGTAACATACGTAAGCCTAGCAATTATAATTCGTCGGATGTCTCGTTATACTTGGTCCGATGGCTTTGAGAATAGGCCTTAGCCGACAGATCTTTCTTCTGCTTTGAGGCTCGACTAGACCAATGAACGTCTACATAGTGGAATATAGCTTGTCTTGACGTCCGAACGAAGTAACGAGCAACGGTCGGACTCAATTTCTTTATAATATTTAAAGGTCAAAAATAAAATAAAAACAGAATTTTTATTTGTCTCTAATATATAATTAATAGTAAAGATATAGCTTCAAAACGTGATAAATTCTGTTATATAATATAACCCGTATAAAAGGAAGAACGGCGCGCTTCGTGTAACCGATGGTTAAACCAAAAATTCCTCTCACCTTAGGACACAGTCGGCTCGCTCCAGGGCTAGGCTGCCGCGAGGTGAAGCGCTTTTGCGGCGCACGTCTCCTGCATGACTAACGAGTGAGACGCGAGGGGTCACACCCTGCCCGCTTCCCTTTGGCGAAGGCGCACCGAGGCATAAGTGCTGGCTTTGCGTCACCTCTGCAAACGTTGTTAACATTAGGACTACACTATAAAGCCACGCTGTTCTCCACAATTATCTGAACACCGTTCTTTAGAAGGAGACAATGGAGTATTTTCGGTAAAGTATTGGGATATTTTATTACATTAAAGAGAATCGATAGCACACCGTCCGTTCCCTTCCCTTCCCTGTACCTACAACAATTGAAAATGCAAATAAAAAATTTGTACAGACGTATATTCCGTAAATATTCCAGCGATGCCTCGATAAAGGAGAACAATAAAAATTCTTCGCGTGCCCTTTTGGCACGGCGCAACAGACAAGGAAAACCTTAGCAAATATTTCACGCCTTCGGCATCGCCGCGTCTCTACTCCAATATAAATTCTGAGGTAACCAATTTTTCTCAATTAGTATATATCCATACTATTTATTAGGTATTATTATTAAATACTGTCTATAGTTTACGCGAGTAGTACACATTTAAATAAAACACTTTAACGGTTTAAAACGCGATATATTAGTTAAACTTATTTGAAAATGATTTTTAACTTCGGCCCGACGTTTCGGATGCTTTGCAGCAGCCGTGGTCACGGGGAGACTAAAGATGGAGGATGTCTCTGACGTCAAAGTAAAAAATTGCTACGCTAGTGCCATCTTTGACATAGTCTCCCCGTGACCACGGCTGCTGCAAAGCATCCGAAACGTCGGGCCGAAGTTAAAAATCATTTTCAAATAAGTTTAACTAATATATCGCGTTTTAAACCGTTAAAGTGTTTTATTTAAAGGTATTATTATTACGACAGAAACAGTGTTATTATAGACAGGGCACTAATCCCCAGATGGATCCTATCCACCTGGACCCCAGGGGGACGATACAATACAATTATACTATATGATTTACTTAAACAGACTTCTACCATATTAAAATTAATTCATGTAAGGGTAATCTTGAAAGCAAATGAGTTTGGGAACTTCTTGTCTAAAGCATTCGTTTTAGTAGCCGACGGTAATAGGTAGTACATTATGGTATTAGTGCGGTAAGTTAAAAATTACAGCCGAGGCGATATTACTGGCCCGAGCCATCGGCGGGTCTATAAGAAAGCAGAGGCCGTAATTTTCAAAGCGCACGTATGTCATACGACGTTTTATAACATTTAATTAATTGTTAAAGCAGTTATAAAAAAATTTACTTGTCCACCAATAAGCGATGCGCGCGCATTAACGTGTTTTTTTAGGCAAATGTGCAAAAACAGCCAGTATTACTAATAAAGTAATATTTTTGTGTTTTTGTTATAGATAAATGGTTGTAATTTATTGTCAAAATTAATTAAATTAAAGAATTAAATGTTTATTTGTTATATTTTATTTCCCAAAGTTAATTTTATTCATAAAATATTGACCACTTTCTTGACATAAAACCTCTTTGCTAAGAGTATTTAAAGTATCGTTCATTTTTATACGGAGTATCTTAAAACTTTATTAAAAAAAAACACAAGCCTTTTACATTACATTATCGCACAAGTACGTAAAGAGATACATTACGATATTGAAATGTGTGTAATTACAACCACTTTACGAGCAAATATGTTATAAAAGAATGTTACCTGTTTTCATAATATTTATTTATCGACTTCGTTACACAAGTCGTCTAGTACGAATGACGATCGAATTGAATTAGTTTAGCAAAGTCTGACACGATAAATTAGGACGTAGTTAATGAATTGTACATTAATTCCTAATTTGCTACAAATGTATCTCGTTTATTGTTTAATGTTGGTTCATTTATCCACATTCTACTCTAATATTATGAAGAGGAGAGATTTAAATTTCTGTTTGTAATGAATGAAAACGTCACAACTATCTTTTATCATTAGAAAGATACGTTCAACCTGATATGGTGATAGCAGAGTCTACATTTGTTGCTAGAAAAGACTAGATTTTTTATTTACTTACTAAAGCAAGGTTTTAAAAAAATGCTATAAAACTACTTTCGGCGCATGCGCAGCGGAAACTGTTGATTTTAAAATAAAATAATGTACTAATTTGCAGAACGTACACTTATCTACAAGAAATATCGCAGCATATGTGTAACTGTAATAGTTATGGCACAATAAGTGTTCTTTCTTTTTATAATTTAGTGAATACCATTACTCCTTATAAAAAAATACTTCATATTTAAGACTGCTTCAATGCTTTAAACTGGTTTTTGAACTATTTTATTTGAACATGTCACTCAAAGGCCTATTAAAACTCCAAATTTAAGCAGTCATAGAAACATCCTTTTGGACGAGTCTCTAGGCCAAAAACTCATATAGCTTTCTTTGTATCGAGAATTTGTACGAAAAGGAGTTCCCTGTTCGGTTGTTAGGTTAGGTTGAGTTCTAGGGGGCAATCTAGCGATGCCGCGGGTACCTAATATCAATATGCAGTCCAATGTACTTACTACCAGCAGTTCTTTGATTCATGAAACCCTTTTGCATTGCCACCGCATGAATAAACTTAGATATTCTAACATGCTTATAAATATTTAATATTCGAATTTTCTGTGTAAATGTAGTCTTAATCAAACCTTCCAAAAATAAAAAATAAATTTTGGGCCTGTGTTGTGTGTAAAAATGTAATGTAACTTCTGAAATGTTTATTTAATACCCTTGCAAAGCCGGGCGGTATCTTAGTATTAAATAAAGGAGAAAGGAAGTTCACTGAGAATTGCATAATCAACTGTCAACAAAGGCGAAGTACATATTATGTACGAGCCCTTTTAAACAAAACACTAACGGTTTAAAACGCGATATATATTAGTTAAACTTATTTGAAAATTCTTTTACTACGGCCTGAAGTTTCGGATGCTTTGCAGCACCCGTGGTCACGGGAAGACTAAAGATGGAGGATGTGCCTAACCTCAAAGTAAAAACTGCTACGTCAGCGCCATCTGTTCCGTCGTAGATGGTGTTTGGCCCGGCCTAGCAGAATTGACAGACAGTATTTAGTACTAGCCCTGTTTTGTTTTCATCAATTATTATTTGAATGACGCAATAATTTTGAAACATTGAAAGGCTTTGAGGCATTTTTGAGGCATTGAATGGCTAACGATATAAAAAACATTAAGACTTCTTAGAAAGCAGAACAAAACTGATTATAGTGTTTGTCTTCATTTTACACGAGTTGTGATATAATTTGCACATGTCAATATTTGCTGACGGTACGGGGGCAACTCTCAGTTCACGTCTTCCTTTGTTTGCACACTCTACACATCACCTGGCCGATGAAAATGTATATTTTTAAACAATTAGATTAACGAGCAATAGGATAAATGTAATAAGTAATGTTTATCGTTGTGATTAGCATCTTATCTTGAATGTAATTTCTATTCACGGTACTGTCTTACAAAACTGTATGTCCTCAAGTACATAAATAACTAATTTTTAATTACAAGGAAGTGTAGCTTCTACTTTCACTAAATAAACCAATATTATCGGAAATATTATAATTCTCGAGTCACGATGCCATAAAATTATAACTTGTCACGCCTCACGCGAACTAATTTTATACAATTTCATTCGAAGTTGGAACCTACACGTCGTTGTCTTTCGTTTATGCACAAAAGTTAAAACTAAACCATTATTTTCTAATTATAATACACTCTCTTAAAAAATGATATTACTGCAAATCGTAATCTCCCTGCTGTTGGTATATTTATGCATCTACCTTATGGGAAAATACAACGAGACTTACTGGCTGCGGCGAGGCGTCCCGTTTTACAAGAGGAATAAAATAACAGGCGTATATTGGGACTTCGTTTTTCGCGGACGACCCGTGTTCGAGGCCTTGCGCGACGTGTACCGAAATCACTCCGGATCCAGCGCAGTGGGGCTGGGTTTCTTCCTGACGCCGGCGATGTACGTCAGCGGAGCTCAGAACCTACGCTACGTGCTCGCTACCGCCTCCGACAGCTTCAACCACCGCGCAGTGGAGCCTAATCGCGGGGATCTACTGGCCGACAACGTGTTGTTCATGCACGGCGCTCGATGGAAGCTCATGAGGCAAGCTCTGACGCCACTCTTCACGACCCGGAAGTTACGGGACATGTATTACATCATCGATCGCAGCGCCCGAGACTTTGCCGCTCACTTGCAACGCCATCCCGACTTGTGCTCAGGTCGAGCGTATCGCACGCTATCGACGTTCTGCAGCGCCGCCATAGGGGCTGCCGTATTCGGGATCAGCCCCTCCTCTATTTTCGACTCGCCCTTCCTCGACATGGCGCAGAAGGCTTTCGAACCGACCTTTTGGAGCAACACAAATCTCTTAATATCTAATCTGAGTCTTGAATTGTCACATTTGCTTGGGATCAAACTCTTCAAGGAGCACGAGGAGCTGTTCGTGGGCGCCATTCGGCAGGTGATAGCGCAGCGGCGGCGCGACAGCGTTAAGCGACACGACTTCGCCGAACTTTGCGTCACGCTGCAACGAATCGGTAGAATAGCGGATGAGCGAATCGGCCTCGAGCTCAAGCCCACCGACGAACTGCTGGCGGCGCAAGCTTTCTTCTTCTTCATAGCGGGCGTCGAGCCGACGGCCTCCGCATTATTCGGAGCGCTGTACGAGTTGGGGCGGCATCCGGAGTGCCTGAAGCGATTGCATACGGAAATAGACGAAACATTTGCGAAATGTGACGAGCTAACGATAGATACCGTAGCGGAGATGTCTTATCTGAACAGCGTCGTATGCGAGGCTATGAGGATCCATCCACCAGTGGGATACCTGAAGAGACTTTGCGTGCGCGACGCCCTTCTGCCGGATGGCGCAGTGCCGGTAGCCAGGGGCACACGTCTTTACACCCCGGTGTTTGACGTGCATCATGATCCGCGTCATTTTCCACAACCGGACCGATTCGACCCTGAACGTTTCTCTCCAGAGAACAAAAGGCGCGTGTCGGAGTGGACGTATATGCCGTTCGGACGGGGCAGCCGCGTGTGCATAGGACAACGCTATGCACTGCTCCAGGTCAAAGCGGGGCTCGCGCACGTTTTGCGACGATTCTCAGTCACATCTCGAGAGTATCCACCCGGCCAGACCTACAGCAAACAGCAACTACAGGTGAGACTAGAGAACGTCGACGTTCGATTCCTGCCACGCCATCCACCTAATGCTAATGCGATGGCCGACTCATAATGTTAATTTAACCTTTATTCTCGTGAAGATTTATTTCTTCGAATTCACAAAACGTCATTGATTTTACCTAAGTAAATTAGAACAATAATGTTCCAATCAAAAAATACTTAAGAGTGAACACATGCTGTTGTTTCAAATTGACGAGAAGAATTAAATTAATAATTGTTTCAAAGCAACAAACAAAAGGTGCTAATCGTGTCTGCACGGATGGGGCGGGTGGTGCAAGGAAGGTAAGTACCTTACCATCAATCATGATGTGCCACAGCAGTTCTACCGCATTGCCGTACTTACTTATGAAACGGAGCTTAAAATATTAATTAAACATTCTGTAAACCCTATATTAAAAATATATACAAATAACACAAAAGACTTTCTTTCTTTAATATGAATTTTAAAGCAAACGAGCTTCAGGCGAAATGTCTGTGGAAATTTTAGGGCTACGACAAAATGTTTATAGATAGAAATGCGATAAAACTCTTGTTTGTTTCCGGCTATAGGTAACCGATTTCCCAAAGTGATTATCTATACTTTACCTATAGATTACCTTTACTTTATTTCTGGACATATTTAATGTCAATAAGAGGCTTACCGCGCCGTATAATGTAGTACCCGATGAACCGTAAAAACGTTTAACTTTTATTGTAATACGAAGTCGTGGATACAGCGGAACCTCTGACCCAGACTAGCGCCATCGTTCAGTCCCTCGTCCTTCAGTCGTACGGCCAATTAATGCAATTAAGTTTATCTACACGCCAAGTTCGCAGCGAATCTACATTCACAATTGGAGAAGCCTCCGTCGAAACAAATTTAATTAGATCGCTTGTTAAGCAGACAATATTTGACTTCGGTTGACACTATGTACTTTTCAATTTAAAGAACATATTATGACATACATAATTTTCGGCCTATAGTGGATCGATTTAAACTTATTTTCGTATCGTAGTAAATTCGTTTTCTAGCTAAATATATGGATATAAAGGGACTATTTAATTGTGTGTAGTAGAGCCCTCTTCGATCCGCCGGTTCAAGCTATTAATGCGATGAGTCTGTGTAATTACCAGTGTTTTAGATATAGATAGATATAGCTGTCGGGTGTAGGCTGAAGGGAACTGACCAGCGCGTGCGCGAGGCGGGTCGATCTGCGCGTGCAAGATCGAGAGCGGCGGCGCCACGATGGCGGGCAGAGTACGCGAGCGCAGAAGTGGCGGTGGGCCACCACGCGCTCCACGGCCGACCGCCGCGGCAGCAGCAGTCGCAGCAGCTGCAGCCGCACTGTAACAAACGTTGTATGCTCATAACTATAATACGGCCCTAAATATTCAAACATACGTCCCACTAGATACGTCGCGAAATTTTAAATTAGCGGAACTTGCCACCGCACCCGTATTGTATGCAAACATTCGGTGATAAAAATACATACGCAATATTTTGATGGCCTAATGAGAACGCAAATGTAGCAGTCTAATGAAATCGAAATTAAAGTAAAACACGAAAATTTCTCAAAATGTTTATTCGGCGTAATTGTCAGCGAGGGTTCCGGTTTCGCTTGTGCTAGAGCTGTACGTCGATGGCGTTAAGCGAACCCTGCTTTTGCTTGTTTTGCTCGCTTTTGTGATGCCCACTGGGTTTGTCACGTTAATAGCTCTCTGAGAATGTACATCCGGAGTACTTTTCTCCTTGATACCGCTGTTATTGTTTCGTACCTCACACATTCCCTTGGATGCACCTGCAATTAGTAAAAATATTAACACCCCTCCCCTTTTGCCAGTAGAACTGTATTTGAAACGGAGAAAGAAGGCCTTCTACCTATCTTTTATCGGCGGTGTGTACTTTACTCGTAGAACGGAACTATTTATCCTCGAATTACCTGCAAATAAATGTTGAAGTCCTGGAATATACAGACCCCCGAACGGTCTTTCATTTGCAGCTACAGAAAGAGCCACCTGCGCGCGTCCCAATGACGCCACTCCTGAAGACTCTACTGCTAGCGAGCTGTTATCTGGAGAAGTTGACAATACACGTACTACGCTATTTCTGAGTCGTATAGAGCAAATTAACAGAGGCTTAATTATTTAACGAATCGAACCGAGCCTCCGCACCACCATTTATATCACTAGAAATAAGTTACACATAATCGAAAGACAAAAATTCTCTTTAAGTACATAATCTGCCAATTGAAGCGTGTAACGGTGGCCGCGTTACGACCGCAACGTGTCGAAGCGACCTCGGCTCCGCAATTTGTCACCGATCCAAACCGCATCGTCTATATATTACAGTCCGTTCCAGCGACCACAACAGCGCATTAGGCCCTTGCACAATGTGAATAGTGGCTCCGGAGGCTAAACGACATAGAAGCGAAATGTACGACATATATTAGCTAGAAAATTATTGGCTAATCATAAGCTACTCGGTTACGAGATTAAGTTATCACAAAATGATAAATGCGATTAGAAAACATGAATCACCCGCGCTAAAGAGGAGAGAAGTGTCAGCGTCACCGACTGCGCTGACTCCGCTCGCCTTCACCTTTAGATTCAGACTGGGAATCTTTCCATACGCTTCACAGTTAATTCCTTCGCCGTCTTTCTCGGGCTTTTTCTTCTTTTTCTCTCGCAGTTCTTTTAGGTTCCCCCGGGCTCCAGAGAAATAGAAGTTAGCTTTTTTGAATTAAGTTAAAAGCCTCGAGCTTCAGAGAAATAGGTAAGTTAAATTTGTTTTGCTGTAGTTTTGTAAATGTAAGGAGTTAAATGATGATTCGTCATCGATATTTATTTACTTTCTGAATCAACTTTCTTATTTTTAAAATTAAAAAATAAGAAAGGGCAAGACGGGGGGGGGGGTAAAAGGTTTCTTACTTTTGCTGACAAGGGGGGGGGGAGGGGGGTAAAATTGTAATAAATCGCTTACGTAATACTTGAACGGCCCCTTGTCGTCGACCGTTTTTAGCACTTGATTGGTAAACGGCTTGGAAATGTCAATTAAGAGCATTTAGCTTTTAACCGTAGTGACTACTTATATAATGATTTATATTGACTTCGAGGTTAACTTGTCAGTATAATAAAAAAAACGCGAATACTTACCATTTCTAAGAGAATATCTTTGTGCTGAACGAAAGATTCGTCCACCATTTCATTTCTTCGCTGCGGCTCGGAAGCGGTTAACACAGTAGCCACTGTGCCTCCATTCTCATTTCTCGCAGTGTTCAAGATATCCTTAGCATGAGCTGTCCCAAGAAATGCCTAAAACATATTATTTGCTTGCTTCACTCTCCTGCTTTCTCACATCCAGCCTTCAATGCTGGGTTTGCGCTGACCAATGGCGGCTCAAGCAGAGAGCAACAGGGTTATATCGGACCCAAATCTCACAATACAACAGCTGAGATTGACAAGTAATATGAATTTTTAACTTCTACTAATATATTATGTCCAAGAGTATAAAAACTTTCTAAAACGAGACATAAGACACGGTATGCAAACCTCACCAAAATAGCGACCAGGTTGGTGATCTCCATGTTCCGGAGCCGAGTGGCGAGAGGTGAGAGGTGAGGGGTAAGAGGGGCAGTTTACAACCAGCACCGACGAGCGAGTTACATTTTACGACTCTCACAAATCGATGTTTATAAATAAACACAATTTAAAGCAACTTTATCGCTCTTATACATCGACACGGCCAAACTACGCATTCGGGCTCGGTGTCACATGAAATCCAAACACGATGATCGGTGGTGATCTCATTGTTTTATTTTAACTGAAAAAGCGTAGAGCGCTGAAGCGCTTTCTTCTCTTTATCTAAGATGATTACTAAAATATTTGCTGAAAGGCTATTCAATAAACTAACTAAATAAACTGTCGGAGAATTTTTTCTGTATAACTACAACATTAATTAAAATTTAATCGTAATGATTAATTGTGTCGCCAATGAAATCTTACATTAAATTTCATATTATCCGATAATAAAGCAAACATACAATTAATGGGGAACGATTGCCCAAGTTCCGCCATAAAACACGAATCCAATAAACGATCAAATCGATGTTGCGAAATCGTCTCAATTCGATTCGCTCTCGATTCAATCGTCGCTCCGACCCGTCTCGCGTTCGTCACATTCCCGGCTTTGGGTAAATTCTTAAGCTATTATTACCTAAATTGCATTATTGTAGCCCTCGACTAGTGTAACTGGGATAAATCTCGAAATAAATTAAAAGTTATAAATCCTAATAGAGATGAACGCCGTTAAGAATAAATAAGATAGCATTTAATCCGTTTTAGAAAATCGCTCTCGATCAGTAACTAACGAAAGCATTCTACGATGCTAACGACCTTGGAATGCGTGCTCTTTTCTATTATGATGATGGTGATGACGGGTGATGTTGGGGGACGAGAGACGCCAAGGCTCGTGAGGTCACTTCCCTCTATAACCAATTCGCTTGTAAACCTCGGTAAAATGGATATCGCGTTCTACATCAACGGCAAACCCAACGGTAATATTCTTATACACACGTACGCTAGCACTCCTAGTACCGCCTCCAGACAGACAATTAACAATGTTCCTCCATCACTCATCGTACTCAATTTTCATACTTTCATTATTTTTATTCTATTTTGCTTGTATCAGATTTGGATTATCAATACTCTTATGTCTGTGTTAAAATTTTGGATATTTTCAGATCTTAAAGTGAATCAAGAAAATTCAAATCTGTCTCCCACTTCAGATTATGTCGTGGAACCTTGTCCTTGCTCGGGTCTAAAATATTTCAGGGACACTTCTCGGGGTCACCCTGTTGAAATTTTGAGCAAACTTTTACAAAACAACGACCCTTTCTTCCAGCGCGAGCCAACAGTCTCCACTCTTTGCTGCGATTCACATGAACAGGTGCCTAAAAGTTAAATGTTTTATTTTGCCACATTGGAAATCAAATATTATTATTTTTATTACATAATCTTTTCAAACTTATTCAAACATTGTCTACAGGTACAAGAAAATTCTGTAGTACTAGAATTTGGACCAAAGCAGCAGCAAATGGTAGCAGGTCCGTTGAAGTCAGGTCACTTTCCAATACCTCTGCTTCTCGATACTTTTGTTTCTGGGAAACCCACACAACCCTTGTCGCCAGCTAAACAAAAGATCATCGAACTATTTGTTTTCCCTAAAAAGAAAGAACAGTATTCGGGTAAAATCATAAACGACAACCGAATTGATAAAGATGGAATCAAAATAGTCGGCGATAAGGAGGTACGCAATGACTTCAAAACTATGAAGTTTCTTCCCCTGCAGTCGAGACTGCCTCATCCGCCTTCCTCGTCTGTCAAGAAAGACTTGACAATCCAAGAGAGTAAGACTAAACAAGACCTACATGAAAAGTCTATTTCGAACTCTAATATTGTCTGATTACAGTCACAGGTCACTAATAAAGACTCTAATGTGATAACTGTACTTCATTCTTGGTCGCTTAAAATAATTATAAAACGTATTGTGGCAACCTGTATAGGTAGGTAGGTAGGTATTATACATATTCAAAGACCAACAAAAGCATAAACATTAAAATGAAAAACACTTACTTTGAAAGGGTTCATCAGAACATCAGAACGCATTAAATCGTCTCCACTCAACACTGAGCCGCTTATTCCAAGTCCAATTTCGCGATACGCAAACCGTTTTACATTTCAGAGGATCTCGATGTCTACTTATTTGTACATTAAACATCGGAAAAGCAAGTAGATTTGGCATGACAGAAATCTCGTTGAGAAGCTAGTGTATAATATAGAGAGAACTTTACTTACTGCTTTTCTTTGCGCTGCTGACGTTTTTTATTGAATGCGCGCTTGACCCTGAGCAGCAAGAAGGCCGCGCGGTCGATGGTGAGCGCGGAGGGTCTTTTGGCGGGCGGCGGGGGGCTCACGTCTTGCATTCCCTCGGACTCCGAACGCGCCCCCTCATCGCACAGCCTCACGCCGAGCCATCGCGACTTGCTCGCCGTGTATTGCACACCTGCTACTGCTTCACCTCCCCACCTCACACCCGGCGACAACACGACAGTGCAACGCGCCCAACTCGCGCTCTAACTGAAACAAAACAAAAAATAATAATTTACAATTCGTATACAATTCATTAATAAGTTCGCTCGCTGAAATTCTTCTTTGTAACGGCGATACAAATCTATCTTGCCAAAGCCGTGTAATGAACGATCATTTTGTTATCTTTTAAAGAACTGGTGGCCCCAGCAGTGATAGCTGCTGTACAAATTGGTATCAACACAAATATATCGTCGCGTTAGCATAGACTTGCGTTAGCATAACTAATGGAATGTTTGATACAACAATTTCAAAATAATATATATAACTGTTATTTTTGCTCGGTATTCCTGCTTCACATAGAAGCAGAAATACAAAGGGCTAAACGTTTAGTAGATCCGCATCACTCGGCCGGATGTGACGTGATGGATGACCATCACAGCTTGCAGGGCGCACGCTATCCGCCCGAGCCTTGTCCTATCCGAATGAAATGCATCGAGAACTTGGAATATATCTCCCCTTTCACCCCGATATGGAGACTGTGTGATTCAGGTCTTAACAACCCAGCAATTCAAGTCGCAAAATTTGTTAAATTGGCCCCAATACTACCGTATATCATCATTGTTTTCGATGCAAGTATAAAGTACGGAGAAAACCTTTAGCCGCCGGACTCGGGAGGTACGAGAGTTACCTGCGACGTGACTAGAACACAAACGAGCACATTGATTTTCAGCGAATTTACCCTAAAGGTGGTTAACGTGCCTCCGGTCTGTAGCGTAGTCGTCGAAAAATGGATAACATTATATATAAACTGAATTTAGATCTGTAAAGCTTACGATAAGACCAAACATGCCGAATATAAAATAAGCACTGGCTTCTGCCGACCGAATAAAACTTAATCAAAATACAGTTTCCGGCAATTTGATTAACATACAAAGTGCTGAATTAAAAACTTGTCCGGCGCGTCGATTAGTTTCAGACGGGGGCGGGTGCACAATCTGGGGAAGAAAGGTCGGTGCGGTTCCGGTTGCGGTTAGTTTAGCCAAAGAGCTTTAAACGAAACACATTAGTGACGATGTAGGCGATGCGGTCGCCATCGATCGATTTATTTAAGGGATGTCCCATAAAACGATTTGGAAAATAAGTTATTGATTTTTAAACAAATTAACTTAAGTCTACAGTTACATGTTTAAGTCATTTCGATTTGGGTGTAGAAAAATGATTATCAATAATAAAAGTAATCACTCAACAAGGGGTAGCCATTTCTTCAAATACTTCTTATACGAGTAAATTCTTGTAAAAAATAACAAAAATGATAAAAGGCAATTCACTCGATAGTAAAGACTAGTAATAAAAAATTATATTCTCTAACGAACAACAATAACAATTAACTGAAGTATCTCCCGAGAAAAACAAGTATTTCTACTCTCGTTTCGCGATATGATCATAAAGTCCACAATCTGAAGACCGAGCCACAATTGTGGATAAGTACCACTTTACTTCCATTTCTCCGGACGACTTAAAATAAGTACTTCCCCGATATAAACATCGATTATACTTCATTGCTCCGACTCAGGGAAAGAGTGAGGGAAAGAGTGTTCAGTGGTAAAGACACGTTCATCTCCCGATAGGCTTCGTAACGCGCATGCAAATGAGGCTTAATAGTTATGGAACTATGGCTAATCTTGCCAGAAACACATTCTAGTCGGCAAGTTTAGCAACTCCTCCGGTCATTTGCATAATTAAATAGAAGCGGATGACGAAACTCTTTAAGCGAAAGGTTCATCAAAATGTTTGTCAAGTAATAAGGTAAGTAATATAAATTAAATAAGTCGAATATAGAACTTGTAGAACTATAAAGTAGTATTTTCTTACGCGAGACACGGTGTGAGTCCAAAAAGTATTTTTGTAATTTACGAACGGAGGCAGTATAGATTACAATAAAACCCTGTCAGCGGTGTAAAATTAGATATATACAATTGGTTAATTTCTTTTCAGCGTTTTAGATGCTTTAAAACCGTGATCGCGGGTTTAAAAAAAATATTTTCATTTCCACGACTACACAGTTAACGTTCTTTTGTTACACTTTCCGAATACTTATCCTTATCGTTGTTTAAGGAAATACCTTACACAAAATAGAATTGACGTTTAATTTAATATATTTGAAAACTAAAGTATAGGTAATGTGATGAACTGAGCGTGCTGAATGTTTATTGGTCGAATTAAATGAATCGCTCAATATGTTCATAAAGTGGGATATTATAATACAACGAAGTAATAAAATGGCACGGTGCTTCAGTTGGTCTAATCCGTGAGTCTGAAAATTATAAATTGGTTATAGAAGCAAGTTGGACACGGTGTCAGTCAAACCCACGGCCGCTCGATTATTCGGTATTCCTTGCTACCGCTGGACCGGACCAAAACAGTACTACAGTGACAGATGTTAGGGAACGAGAAGAGTATATCTAAACTACGACTTATAACATTTTTAGAATTAAAAGCACCAAATGTATGTAAGTTTTACTTTACACATGTGAGTCATAAAGATTCAAGTAGAGCCGAGTCGCAGGACCGATAACAGTGGTTATCTGTCAGCGTATGCTAATCTCTCATTGGAACTTGGTGACAACACATATCAGCCGCTATCTTCTGCGAGACTAATCCAACCACTGAGCCGTGCCTCCCTAATCACTCCCTTATCGTCGTAATATCCACTTTTTCCCATAATTAAATGCCGTCGATCGCCCGTGCACAGACAGATGTATCTGTGTACACGTCCAATTTATGTTTTATCTTTCGTCCGACTAAGAGAAATATGGAAATGACACAGCCGTGTGATTTATAGCTAAAATTGAATTCATAACTCAAACAATGTTTTAGCCGATTCAATTTGATCGGTATGTTAATGAATGTACTTAATATACTCGATTCGCAATGTCCCGTTCAGAACGCCTTTCGTTCTTATTTAATCGGCACGGAAGCACGAGAGTTCCGGTGTCCGGAATGGTTCATATTGATTTAAGTAATGTCCTTATTTCGCTCCGCCATCTTGCACTTTGTTGAATCACCTTTGGATCTCAAAACATTCAATTATTTCTGGTTCAGTTGGGTACCTTTTAGTACATTTAGTTCGTATTCGTAATTCGTAAATTTAAAAGCCGCTGCCTTTTACTAGATACGACAGTAACGGCAGTAGTCGAAGTTTATTAGACTTATATAGTTAAGTTTCTTAACAAAATAAACAACAAAGCAAAGAAGTTATTTAGGAAAACTTCTCTTAAGTTTCTCCGCATTTGCAGCAGTCGTTTTGAAATATATTTTCAGGATTTGAAGGTTATACACTCTTGTAAATAAACACGAGCAGAACTTTTACTTTATTTACTTTATTACGTGCATTATTAAAAGCAAGAACTTATCACTAAAGTAATATATTTATAAGTTAGGTATAGTAGTAGTAGTATAGTCTATTTCGGTTGCTTTGACTTTATTTTTTATACCTATGTATACATTTATTGTACACGACAAACGTAATATAAGCGACGTAGATGACGTGGCAAATTGAAATGTAAAACTATTCTCCTTATAAAATCTATACTAATATACAAGGCTGAAGAGTTGTTTGTTTGTTTGAACGCGCTAATCTCATGAACTGCTGGTTCGAATTGCAATGTTAGCATTAATCGAGGAAGATAAAACAGGCTGTAAAACATCGAGCTGTGCCTAATAGAAGTGAGGGAACTGCCGGTAATGGGTAGAAAACGGGGAAAATTATTTAATCTCTCTAGGTTTCCGATGCGTATGCTGCAAAAACGGTTCAAGATACCCAAGTCTATGTATGAAAGAATGGTTCCTCTTAAATGATCTAAAAAAAGTCCACAATACAACATGTCTTTCTCTTAAGATTTACTTGCAAGAACGACGGGACGCGTCTGACGCCGAGCTTTAATCATAAAGTTATAAGGAGGTTTGCAAAATCGAATTTGGATTTTGGATGCGAAAAAATAACGATTGAAAACATTAATATTTTTCACATGTTATTGCACATGAAGGCACTATATAATTTAAAAATCGAAAATAAATTGAAAAAATCAGAGCAACAGCACGGAAAGTTGACGATGCCGGCTCAAGTCCTGCCCGAGTCGAAAATTTTTTCAATTTATTTTCGATTTTTAAATTAAAAATCTTTTGCGGACGATATCGCTGACACTGCCAGCAGCAAATAAAGTGCTACGATTCTACGAAAGCCTACGAGGCGCTACGCAGCTTAACAAAATGTTCTCATTAGCCTCTCACAAGTTCTTTCTATTCTTACTACAGGGCTTGGACATGTAATAAGTGCATGCACGAGATAAAATTGTAAAGGTTAAGGTGCTGGCTAAAAATTTCAGTAGTTGAACCGCACGTGTCAGAGATGTATGAAAAAATATCGAGAATTCGAACCTTACGCCACATTCTCCAAAGAAAATAAGGATATTTACAACGGAGTCATTTGGTTTCTCTTATTATTTGTTTCCTAAACCAAAGATCGAATTTCATTGAATAAAGACAATCTGATCAAAGCTAATTTAGATATACAATAGTTTTAGTAAGAAAAAATACGGAAGTTCTGTTATACTGCTAATGAAGATGTACGAGAGTCACGTCGGGGCGTGATGAAATAATCGTTCAAAACGTATTTACCCTTAAGTGTGCCAAGGGAGGGCGAAATTTATATGAATACTCATTCTAAAAATACGTGTAATTTTTTGAACAAAATGTCATTGAAAATCTTATCTTAGGAGACAGCAGAGCTAAAAATTCCACATGAGTATCTAAATTTTACTTACACGTTGTTCAGCGGTAATTTCCTTTTAAAAAGGGTAACACAATATTTTGCGAGTTCTAAAAGTATTAATATTTTTAGAAAATTCAGTTTCACCTACGACTCAACTACAACTGGCAAACGCAACTGGTTTAATGATTAATTAACAAATCTAAGGCACAAGTAAACACTTTGTACTCACTGTTGCTTTTTTCCCTCCTTTTTGCTTGAGTTAAATGTCATTGAAAATAGTACTAATACAATAGCACCCACAGAGTATACTTTTTTCCGTAAACGTCTATCAATTGTCATAAAACCACCAAAAAGTACAATATGAAATTTCGAAATAATTTATCTGAAATTATTACAATGTTTAAAAATGTTTACTTGTAGTGTTAGTAAATAAGAGTTGGCGGGCTTTTTTGTCATTTATAAATAATCATATATTTTGTCTTGTTGACGAATAAAAAATATGTATAAAATGGCAACGTTATCTTTACCTACAAGAAAAGAAACATGATCGTTTTACCAAGTTTCTAAATGATGTTTTAGACTTCAGTCAATTCTTCTCAGAGTAATATGGAGAGATATTCAATATGAAAATGAAGTTAGTGTTTTTGTGTAACAAATTATGCGAATAAAGTTTCCGGAGAGTTCGGCCTTATTTTTTTAACAAAGATTACGAGACCTTCGTAATCCAAAAAGTACTTACTGAATAGCTATTTCCCAAAATGCTTATTGTCAGCTATAGTTAAAATAGTTCTGGATAAAAATATTTTAATAAATAATTTTATTTTATGCGAGATATAAATTAAGTCTAAAAAGTATCTTAATTATATATTTTACTACATTAATCAGCTTACCAGTGTAATTTCCGAAAATTGTCCGAGTATTAACAGATCAACAACACAGTCGTGAGTATATTCAAAATAAGTAAATAATGTTAAGTGTGAGATTTCAAGTTAAAAAAATATATATGGTTGCGCCGCATAAGGCGGCAGAGGGCGGATGGGGCGATCCGTGGAGGCGGGCGGCTCGCGGTGAACTGAATAGCGTTACAGAGTAAGCAATAGTCCAGTGTTAAGCGTCATGTTGATGCTTGTCTGTCAGTTGAGCCTTGTACTCACTCATACCCCTCCACTTGTGCTTTCAAATATTGGTTCTCTTAATTCTTCTCTCAAGGCTTTTATATTCGTTCCGATTATAGGGAATTAACTAGGTATATTAAAAAATCTACTCTGAGGTGGAACTTATTACTTTTTAGTATAGGTAAAGTAAGGTAATAAATAATATGTACATTATGTACATATTATTTATTCTGGGTACCTTATTGGTATAGGTCATGTTTAAATAATGTTCACATGGAAGAATCAATTAATCATTTAAACAAGACAGTACATACCTTAACCACTAAATTATATTCATAGGATTAAAGTGGGGTAATTCAATGAAATGAAACGCCATTGTCCAATTGTATCTCGACATATTAAAATGATTCTTATAAACATTACCTATCATTCTTATAAACTGTATAAAGTGAAGTTCGGCCGAGGCGTGTACAATATGCGAGTACGACTAATCGATGACGGTCTGCTCCTCTTTGACAAAGAACTCGACGACTTCCTCTACGGCGTTGCCGTCGCCGGCCGCGGCGGCCGTGTCTGCGTCGGTGTCTACGTAGCCACGAAGTTCCAGCCTGCGTGCACGCTGGTCCGCCCACTCGCGTTGCTTGGTTTCCCGGTACTCACGGTGCCTCTTCATCTGCTCTGTGCGTTTAGCCACGAGTTCTTTGCTCGCTTTTGTGCTTCGCATACGGTCCTTAGACTCGAACTGTGGGTAGTATTTCTTAAGGTTCTTCTTAATGTCCTTTTGTTGCTTTTCGGAGAGCAGCGTAGGTGGACGCGGCCGCCAGTGGAATTGCGCAAAGCCTTCTTTCATAACACGGCGTAATATTTTTCCTTGGAAGGACCAAATGTAGTAACCGCAGTCCATCTTACATTTAAGGGACGAGACACCTGTGACGACGTAACGACCAGTGGGATCCCATTCGATACCCGACATTTGATAATGATCGGCAACATTCATAATGGTAAAGTCATTGGTATCGAGGAACTCCAATGCCCCTCCAGTGAGTCCGAAATTAGCCAACACCACAAACTGACCCTGTGGTGACCAAAAAACGTGGTTGAAAGAACCAGCCAGTTTCTTTAACAATGTTGGTGCTTGTCCAGTGTTTACTTGATAAAAGCTAACTTGAACATTTGCTTGGTCACCGTGTATAATGGCAAATTTGCTACCAACTGGCTCCCATGCAAATGCTTGGATTGGTTCTTTTATTTCCACACTATCTACTGGTACTTCCTTCTCGCGCATGTGGAAAATTTCAAAATTGTAGTACATGCCAGAGTACTTTAATTCATTTTTGTCTTTCTTCAGTTTTGAGTAACGATCCACCTTAACACAAAGATAGTCACCACTCTTTTGCCAGTGGATCTTACAATCTGCCACTGAAAACAAATTTTTGGAGCGTGTCTCAGCACGGTTAGGTATCTCCAACAAAGTAACTCTTGCTGGTACATCTTTCTCTTCTGCTACCCAATATGCCAAAACATTATCTGTAGGTGACCAACAGAAGTCTCGAATACCAGGGATCTTTATAGACTTCTTGTCAAGCAACCCAAACCCAGGGGTCTCATACACAGATAATACATCGGTACCAAGTCGCGCGAAAAAGCGATCATCCTTGCTCCAGCGAAATATAGGCCAAGTAACATATTCATCTGGGGGTGGGAAACTACGCTTTTCCTGTCCAGTGCGAATATCCCAAATAATCAACTTCTTGTCATCACCCCGGTCCCCAGCAGGGGAGAATGTCACAATATAGTTTTCACAAGGTGAAAATGAGATAAAACGTGCCTCCGGGTGGTAGAACTTTTGGAACTGCGTAAACTTGGGTCCAGCCCACAAAGCAACACCTCGCCAGTGGAACGTAGCTAAGTAAGTACCCAATGGTGACCACACAGCATAGGTTTCTGTCCAGTTCTGTAAATTAAACATAGCTATTTCAAAATCTACAAATCTAAATATTGTTTACTTGTAATCTTACTTGGCCATTTAACCATGTTTCCTCTGATGGATTTAACAATATCTCTGGAATTAATTAGCAGCTTCTTGAAATGAAACCTAGTGACAAAGATTATTCCTACCCAATGTTTTTTTGTTATACATTTACATTTCAAGTAGCAAGTGTAAATTTACATTTTAAGAGAAAGCCCAAACTATATATTAAAGCATAGCTTATATTAAAATGATTTTTTATTATCTTCTTACCGGTCTTTCTTGTAAAAGTGTAGGCTCTGGCAGTGCATTCTGCCACACCTGTAGCCCAACACCAGTACCAATGCCCACAAGAAACTGGTCATATGCATCTGGATCCATCAGATACCATTGCAGATCTGATTGTACCTTGAAAGGCTGGGGTGCTGGTGGTTCCCACTCAGCGGGGATATTTTCATATCTGAAATAGTATAGTTGTAAATTTTTACATAAGGTTGATATGTAAATAAGTTGAGAATAATGCCACCACAAGCTAAAATGAGTTTAAAAATGTAAACAAAAAAGGATACAGTTAAGAATGAATAGATACAAAAAATACAAATATTATATCTCAAGTTGGTGTAACATGTTTGTTATGGGGAAAGGTTGAAATGGGGGGGGGAAAACGGGGGAAGAAACCCCCCCCCCCCAAAGGGTCCCCGATTATAACTTATTTGTTGGAAGGTTAATTTTATAATTTAGGCTTGCGATTTAACTTTACCTAAAAGCTACAACTGACCGTGTAAATACTTACTTTTTGAAATCAGTAAACAGATTAACTAAGAATGTATGCTGTTTATCCAATTTACAATTATTTGTAGCAGTAACAGCCTCAGCTGCATTTTGTGGATTACTGTACTCGAGAAATATATATCCAGTGGTTAAACCGTTCTCGGTGGTCGGGTAGTATTCATTTACAATAGTACCAAACTTGCCAAAGATCTTATTTATTACGCTTTGCAGCTTCTCGAGACGTTCTGGGCCAACTTGTGGGCACCCATCTACCACAATTACATTTTCGTAACCGTCTGATTCTTTCGGCTTTTGCTCTAACAAGTCGGCCAATAACTCTGCAACGTCACATATAGGTTATATCGTAACAAGATAGGTACCTTCCAAGAGTCCAAAATCAATCTAACCAATATCACAACTACCCGTTTTATAATATCTATATTCAATGGAATAGAATAGAAATAACACGACTTAAGTAAATTAACGCATATGGTAAAAACAACCTCGAGGATAGGTACGCACCTTCATCCTGGATATCATCGACGAAACCTTCGGAATCATCAAAATTGGGTTCCTCGTCAAAATTCTGTTCTTCATTATCACTATGTATAGTCTGGTTTACTTTTTCGTCACCTTTTTTCTTAGCCATTTTAACTTTATACTATTAAAATGTGTTACCGGAAGACACGCCATTAGGTAGTGACAGATTCCAAAATTATTGTAGTCTAGAATTATTATGACAATTGACAGTTCAGATAATGCGTATGTCACAGCTAAAACTACAGTTTATAGATTATAATGTACCACCGAATATTATGATTAATATTTTTGTTAATTTTAAATTAGAACATTTAATAATTTAGAAAATATTCTCAGATGTCTTTTAATTTCAAACGTATTGAGATAATGATGAATGTAATTAGTCACAGTTATATAAGTCAGCGTCAACAAAGAAATACAATATTTTTCATAAATACTGGTTTGTTACAATTTTCGATTTTTAATTTACTTATCAAACATTGAAGTATTTCTTGCTTTCAGGCAAATAGGTCCGTTTAAAGTGAAAATTATCATTTTGCGTAATGAATAACGTTTCGTCTTGGAATTATTGTTTTAATTCTTCAACGTGAGCAAAAATCAAACCATCTCCTGCCGTTACCCGAACGATTCATATCAAATACTACTATGAATAGAGGTGTTGAAGCAACCGAAATAGAAATTGCAAATGCTCGCTTAGGTATGCCCTGTACCATAATTGCATTTTTTTATTATTTTTCACTGATTCTAAAACAATAAAGAAATTAATAAAATTAAACAGGTATATTGGACGCTACTATATGCTGCTCACCACCTACTATCGACACTTTAAGTGATTCCTTCGTGCAGGTAAGGATTCTAAAGTTTGTTTTATTATTTTAATGAACCATTTAACTAAAAACATACCAGACAGTGAATCAAGTAAATATACTAATATTTTTAGGTTGTAGTTCAGAAGCAGAAGCGTGGTACACGACATAAAACTACCGCCTCGAGTCCAATAAAAGATGCAAATGCACTAGTTAGTACTTAGATTATATTTTGGATTATGATTGTGGTGTTTATAGATCTCTACATCTTTGGCTAAATTGTGGAATTTATTAATGGAATTTAATGTATTCATAACATTTACGACTGCATTATTTGGCCTCAGCCCAAAGGAGGCACGGCAGATCCTGGCGAAGAGGTTGGACAAGGAGACGGCGATGTCAGGGCAGTACTAATGACGTGGCCAACGCTCGCTGCACTACAGAAACAGGGACTTTCGGTTTGGGAAGCTCCCCGTTCTATAAAAGTTGGGGACCGGACTCCTCTTGGTACCAAAAAGGGCCGTACCGACTCACAACCGTCGAAGGTCGGTAAATCTATAGAAAGTAATTTTGTTAAACTTGCATTTGTTGATTATCGATTGAGGTCTCTTAAACTTCTTAATTGCCACAGAAGCGCAAAGCGTTCTTATCAATGCAGGCAATAGGTACCTAATAATTTAACAATTATTCAATAATATTGTGCATTGTTGTCAGATAAGAAAAAATACCTTGTGGAAGAAAATTCGCAACATAGCTTCAGGAAAAGAAGCTGTCAACGAATTAGATGGTGAGTGATGCCTTGTTACTAAAGCGAAAGATCAAAAATAATTTTCACTTATTAGTTGTGTCCAAACAAGGGTCAATTTCTGTGTGAGCTGATTAAGTAATTAGTCTTAGGCTTAATCTATGGCGTAAGCCAAAGGTCGAAAAAGTAAAAGTTATAAACACATTTTGTATTTGTCAGGAAGATTGGCATCACGGCCCATTTTCACCCTTTCTCTGATCTGAGTACCTACTCGCTTTTGTTTGGAAAAAAAGAAATCTCCTTAATTTTTTTTATACATTAATGTGGAAAGTATAGGTTAAATACAGATTTCGGTCAAGAAGTTCTTTTAAACCTCTTGGCTTCAGTCTGGTCTTATTCCGAAAATGCGCAAGAACATACCTAATTCATACTATTTGTATTATGCACCGACCTACATACACTATTTTTAATTTCGTACCAAACAGGCAACTGCCGATAACTGTTTATACGACTATTTCTCAATTTCCTACATTAAATCGATAAGAATTTTTTCATGAAACATGAAGAAGTCGGTACAAGAAGAAAATTCATTTTCATTTTACTATTAATACTACCTATTGCGTTTATTAAGACCTCATTTTATACGGTAGATGAATTATAGTAGGTATACGCCTCGCATAATATTGTTAAATTTTCAAAAGATAGCGATGTTTACCTATAGGTATCGCAACCAAATGTCGGCCCTAAAATTTTTAGTTAATAGCAGGACCGGGGGGCATGGCGGTGTACAGGCTAGAACGCGGAGGAGGCTCTGTGCTGGCCTCGCGTGCAGAGCCCGAGACACGAGTGGACCGGCTGGCGCGCGCGATCGCTCGTCCGGCGTCTGCGTTCCTCGGAGAGATATTTTCAATGATACGCTTACTCATCATGCTACCGATTTCTCTGCTACTGCGCCTGGAAAGGTTATGTCCTTTAAAGACATTGGGGGCTTACGCTTAGGTTACTGAAAAGTAGTTTGCACTGTGTTCGGAATCTCTGTCTTTACTCTTAAATGATTTACTCCCGTTTCCTTTCCCAGTAAAAGAAACGATTGTAAATCAAAAAACATGACTAAGCCAACTCGTTGTAACCACAGGTGGTAATAATCGATTTTTAAATTATGTGTACGATGTTGCTTGTTGCATATAGATGCATACTATCGCTTACCGTCTGGGCGATATGTGGTGTGGTGCAGACACTAGCTGAAGAGGTTTTAACGCCCACGCTAGCATTGGGCTACAACTACGCGGCGCGGCCCACGTTGGTAACCGCGGGGCGAGTTGCTGATGCCCTACGGCTAGCATTGGAGCCCATCAGTTTGGCGCTGGGAGACGCGTTGCTGCCTTGCGCCACGCTTCTAGCCAACTGCCGACTTGTTAACGTGTGCGTAGAGAGGCGTTGCGCCTGCCATTCTTTGCATCATGTGTAGTAGTCCAATAGTATTAAAAAACGATTCCACAAACTTTTACTCATTTCCTTTACTTGCATATACCTAATTGGACTTTAACATAACTTTACAATATAATAAAACAAATCAGTATCATTTAGCGCAATATCATATTTTTATTAAAATAATTGCTGTTCAAGGAGGTTGGGAGTGGTGCGTGTCCTGGTTTTTCTGGTCAAGGTGGACTAGATCCGAATAACGAGGCGGGTTGGCCCACGGATCGTAGCCCAATACGGACAGCATCGGCGCCAGGTCGGCCATCTCCGCTCGGACGTCACTCGGGACCGCACCGACCCATTTATCCAGTGCGTCCAGGTTTACTGGGCGTACAACTTGGTCTGACGATCGCTCCACGCTATAAACAGATTACTGTGAAAAAAAAAAAAAAAAAAAAAAAAAAAAGAAAAAAAAAAAAGAAAAAGAAGGGGAGGGGATTGGGGGGGGGGGGGGGGGGGGGGGGGGGGGGGGGGGGGGGGGGGGGGGGGGGGGGGGGGGGGGGGGGGGGGGGGGGGGGGGGGGGGGCGGGCGGGGCGGGGGGGGGGGGGAAGGAAAAATTAAAAAAGAATAAATTAAACAGCGCGGTTAAAACCGGGAAAGGGGTTTTTTTAAAAGTGAACTACTCGCGTAAACTATAGACAGTATTTAGATTAGTTACGTGTTCTAGAGTTAGGGTTACTGGTCGAATGATTTTTACTAAAACATTTATTTACGTTATTACGTTTATTATCGCTAGCCAACATAGCATTAATATTACAACCATACGTACTTGGACAAAGCTACGCCGTTGGGCTGATTTATGTATCTTTCGTGATGTAGCACCGCATCGCTCCAAGGAAGATCTAAGAATGCCAATACGTTGCGTAACGTTTGCTCAGGGGCCATCACGAGCGCCTCGTAGCGCACGAGCAAACAGCGCTCCGGGCCTAATGACTTGCACTGCTGATACATCAGCTCCACTGCATGATTCCACTTGGTCAAGCACTGTCTATAGCTTGTCAAATCAAATCCAGTTATTGTAACCTGTAGGGTGACAAGGAATGTAGTTTAGTTTCAAATATCGGATTGAATTAAAAGAAAGCAAAAAGCATAAAATCTATTGAATGGTTAGTTGTTGTTACCGATCTAGTCTCATACTATTAAGAAAGAGTATTGAAATACAATCGTTATATTTCTTTTAAAGCTACTCACCTTTCTAGTTATAATAGAATGTACTGTGGCCCGGCCATCTCGTACCATAAACAAAAATTTGGCATTAGGAAATAGTTCTAAAACATAAGTCCCCATTTTTAAAACTAGAGGATCTTTATTGCACAGTCGTTTCGCTGGATCCCCATGGCGAACAATAACTTCTAGGCAGAACGCAGCGATAGCGTTATCCAAAACAGTTTTTGAAACACCGGCCTGCTCTAGTCTTACACTTTCCTTCTGCGAGCGCGCCCAGTGTTGTCTCATTTGAAGTATTCGTGGCACTACTCGAGTTTCTTGACCGCATCTCACGTCAGGATGTGCATCTAGCATAGCACGCATTAAAGTTGTGCCTGAACGAGGTACACCACCAATGAAGATCAGCGGCAACTCACGGCCCTCGACAGGGGCGTGTGCTTGGAACCTGGATGAGAATCGCGAGTCACCTGACCCGCAAGATCCGCAAGTCCGCCATGCCCAGACCAGTGCCGCCCCCCGCTACTAGAACTACGGCCGCGCGCACTCGCGCCCCTCGCCACATGCCCTTATGCTCCACCTGAGTTTCAGAATAGTACAATAATACTATTTACATTTATTACAGTTAACACTCAACAAGATTCACAAAATATTTTGTGTGATCTTGTACCCTAACATAAAAATACACATCACAGTCCATACATTTACAGGATTACAGTATTTGATTATAAAATTAATACTTGAACTATTAAATTATCAAAACTTACAATAAATAGTTTTGCAGTACAATGATTTAACAGATCCTGTAACAAATTTTGATATAAAAATTCCATAACTGATGCAAAATATTTTTAAACCAAAAAATGTATGGCATTATACACATGTTCCCAAATGATTTATGATTAAGTAAACACAATTTTTTTCAGTAAATACCTCTATCATATTTGGATCATTATTCTGTAAGCATGTGTCGTTTATTTTAAATGAAAAAATGTAACAGGTAAGTACTTTGTTATACAACTGCAAAATTAGTAAATTGGAGTAAAATACAGTTACAAATAACTACCTATTAACACTATTAAAAACCAAAACTATAGGTTCATCAATCATAGGCATATGAAAGAGAGTAAAAGATATATTATTAATCAATTCATTTTCTGTGCTAAAGGGGGTGGAAATAATATTAGATATAAGACTATTGGAAAATTAAGTTTGTTATTTAAAAAATATCATTAAGCTTTAGTTCATTAAGCTTTGTTTACCATTTATCAAAAGTAATTTCCTAAATGCACTATACTTACCTACATGAATATGTTTACAATATTGGACCTGTTAGCTTCACATGCCAACGCATCGTCTTTTGAAATTATTTCGAGATTCAGTAGAATATGGCTTTCGTGTTGTAGATTCTAGTTAAAAGAGTGTAAAAAATGCTAGAACAAAAGACACAGCTTGAATGTCTCCTAATTAAAACAGAATTAGATAATTATCATTATGTATTAAAATATCTAACATTTTTAAAAGTAGACGTGTTTACATTTGACAGTAGTCTGTATGTACCACAGTTGTTGTTACGGTTGATCTGAATACCACAGAAAAAAAGACACGGCCACAGATAAACTGTTGGGTCCTTAAAATTCAAAATTATTCCTCAGAAATAGACATTATCAAAAATATTATGATATTTTTTGAACACGCTGTGCCTGCTTATATTATATATGAACGAAAAATTGTGAAAATTATTATTCAATATATTAATTTTTTGTATAGCAATATTTAATTTTCAGCGGTTCATCGAAGTGTCATAGTGAATCGATTAATTTTATTAAAGTTTGTTTTCAATTATAATGTCAAGTAGTCTTTTTATTGCTTTAGTAAAATAATTATGCTTTATATTTATAATATGTAATGTAAAAAGCAAAGCGAAACATCTTTTAAATAAAACACACAAGCAAATCGTCATATTTAATGAATTCTATTCGCTTTTAACTAAAGTTTTTTTTTTAAAAGTTTATTACTTCGCGTAAACTATAGACAGTATTTAAAGCGAAACATCGTCATATTTAATGTATTTTTCGTTAAAGTGGTAAAATAATCGAGATTTCGATTAAAAATCGATTAATCGATTAAAAATCAAAATGTTTTTTAAGAATGTCAAAATTTTACTGTTTCTAAAGCAAATTTAAAAAATACACATTTAAAGCAATAAAGAGAAACGTTAAGAACGTTCATTTTTATTAAGATTGGTTGATGTGCCTTTATTAATTATGTTGTAACTGGATTCCTATATTAGCCTCAAAATGGTGCTGGCCGATCACTTGCGCTTTGTTCGAAACCAATATGGCCACTGCCGGGATTGTTGTCAAAAGTCAAAATGCTCAAATAGAAACACTATCAGTGAGACGCTTTCCTAGTTTCGTATAATTTATAAAGTTATACTTAGTTGTTATTTATGTTTGGAAATAGCCACTGAAATCGATCAAATAATTTTAATATTAAGTGTGACTAAACAGTGGGATGAATAATTAGGAATCTAATAATTGTGACAACCATTTAAGTATAAAAGTGCTTTGTGAAGTGAGAAATGAGCAGATATTGAAGCATTTTGCTGCACAGGGAAGTGTGGTGTGCATTGTACATGTTCGCAATGTCTTTCGGTAAGCGGGCGCAATGAGCCCGCCCTGGTATTATCGACCGGTTCAGCTGTGCTACTCATGGTAAGTGGCAAATTAGATAGTCGGATGCTCGTAGGTATATATATATATACACTGCAAAACCATTCTCCTTCTCATTAACTCAATGTTTGCGCTAAACTATGGGTACAATTTAATCAACAGAATGCCAATGGGGAAGGCGCTTAATAATAACAAAAAATAGAAACAAGATTCTGATTAAAATGGTCCAGGTCTGGAAACAATGAATATCAATCAAATCCGTATCTTAATGATAGTTACTAAAACTTCTTACTGAGCTATTGCAATTTTATTTTTACTCAATTAAATATCAAGTCAAAAAATATACTAAAGTTGATTAGGTTTTTGTGGAATGTCACAGTGTACTTAATGATTATACCTATTAATCTATATATACTTATTATGCAAACATCAGTAAGATGTGTTTTTGTTCTTAAATGAAAATAAATAAAACAATAAAGAAACCATTTATTTTCATATCTATTTTAATAATAAATAACTGGATAATATTTATGTAAACACAACCTGTTAAATATACCCACAAAATAGTTTATATATTATTTCTAAATATAATAACCTATTTATTGTCAACTAGCTGTGCTCGCAACTTTGTCTGCGTGGAATTGTGTGGGGTAGATATTTTAATTATTCAGGCTGTTTATTAATTTATGGAAGGGCGCATTTAGGGCAGCCAATCTATGTTTTAAGTGCTACTTTGCTACAACACTCTCACTCCACATCACTCCTACTCCCACTCCCACTCCTATTACCAAAAAGCCAAAGAAGAAACTTTTATTGTTCTAACTTCAAAAACCATGAATTACCATACAAACTTTCATCCCCCTTTTCAACCCCTAATAACCCTTTTTTTGGCATTAAAAAGCTTATGTCCTTTTTCAGGCTCCAAAATATATGTGTACCAAATTTTATTTAAATCAGTTCAGTAGTTGTGGAGTTAAAGCCGGACAGACAGACAGAGTTACTTTTCCATTTATAAATTAAGATTTTAGTTATGTAGAGTTGCAATGGTACACTAATCCTGAACAAAGAGAAAGGAAATGTATATTAAACAATTGAATAAGCAATTTTTTATTTTGTTATTCCAGGGCGTGGAGCGTGGAAGCAGCGACGGGGCGGGCGGTCTCAATGGCGCCGCGTCAGGTCGCAGCGAGGAGCCCGCTCGCAAACGGCCCAAGCTGATCCTTGCTGATGACGCGTCACCACTGCGAAAGCGGATACTGGAATATAAACTCTTGAGGTTAAAAAATCTAAGGGACAGGTTTACAGACCAGTTAAATGAACAGTATTTCCTCGAAGCAGGGGGTAACATGATGGACTATGCTGCATGGCGGAAACGACCTCCGGCTCCTCAACTTGTTGCTTTTATTGAGGCAAGACGTCCTGCCGCTACATTGCCACCACCTCCAGAGCCAGAGATAGTAGAACCTCCTGTGGAGCCAGTGCCTCCACCCTTGTCGGTTATCGCACCCGCAGTGAGTGCTGCTGATGAAATGGTGGAGAAAGCAAAGCAAGAGGCCTATGTAGCGGGACGCGTAGGTGAGCTGATGAGATTAGGGCTGTGGTCAGAGCGAAGACTACCGCGTGTATTAGATCCGCCGCGCGCCAAAACGCATTGGGATTACTTGCTTGAGGAAATGGCCTGGTTGGCACAGGATTTTGCACATGAACGGAAATGGAAGAAACAGGCAGCAAAAAAGGTATGCAGAGTACTGACCAAAATTTTACTAATTGTGCAGAAATTACTCACTATGGATTGTATGTGGCTTAATTCAAAATATGTAATAAGTAAATTTATAAAGATAATCGTGTATGGAATTTGGTCAATAAAATATTGAAAATTTGGTTTAAATCAATAATGAGATTGAGTTTTTTAGTGATAACCTTAATTCTAATTCTGATATGTTGCTAGGGCTCCTATAGACCTGTATCTAAATAAAGAGTGATGTTTTGTTTTATTATTTTATGGTTGCATTGAAGTAATGTCTTTTCTTCTTGTAGTGTGCACGAGCCGTCCAAAAATATTTTCAAGATAAAGCTTTAGCTGCACAGAAAGCTGAAAAGGCACAAGAGTTGCAACTGAGGAAAATAGCCGCATTTGCTGCTAAAGAAATTAGAACATTTTGGGCTAATGTTGAGAAGGTGATTGCCTTTTGCTCATAATAAAAATACTCCTTTGTCAGTTAATGACTAATTTATTATCTTACTATATATAAATCTCTTGTCACGATGTTTGTCCGCTATGGACCTCTAAACTACTGAACCGATTTTGAGTAAGTAATCAATAGATGGCACTGCTATGGTAAACCGACAAACGTGTCATATAAGCTACAATTTGATAGAAGGCAATGCTATAAACAATAACTTCAGCCACAGCAACGCGTGGCCGGGTCTGCTAGTGTTGTATAAATATGGTATAATTTCTTCTTTTTTCTCACATTCAGGTAGTCGAATGGAAACGCGAGCGACGCGTGGAGCGCGCTCGCAAAGAGGCATTGGATGAGCAGCTCAGCTATATAGTAGACCGCACCGAGCGCTATTCTCGTCAATTGGCGGCCAATCTCCACGCACCCGCTCAGCAGGCCCTGCCTAACAACATTTCCGATGATGAATTTGAGCCCCGGGACGACTCCGACGACGACGAAGAGACTATAGCTGCCGCCGAACAAGAGGCCGCACACGACGCGACAGATCATCGTCAAGAGCTAGATGCGCTGCGTCGCGAATCGAGCCTCGATCTTCGCGATCTCTTACCGCCCGGGTACTTGCCCGCACATTCCCCTCCCCCCTCCGGGGATTCGGCGGACGACGAGGAGACTATCGCAGAACAGGAACGGAACGAACGGCCCGAGGATACGGCTGCCGAACTTGACGCATTGCGGCACGAAGCGGATCTCGACATCGATGAGCTTATGCGCAAGTATAAGAGTCAACCGCCGACGCCATCCGACGCGCATTCGGCGCCTTCGGACGAGACAGAGTCGGAGGGAGAGTCGAGTTCGTCTGAACATTTAGAAGCGCTAATGGAGACCGACGGCGCCAGCGAAGTGGAGGGTGCGGGCACTCAGCGCGTCGAGGCTGCGGCTTCCCTGGCGCAGTCGTTGCAGCCCACGGGCACAACTCTCTCGTCGACGTCTGTGGGCACGCCTGTGCCGCGACTGTTGCGCCACTCATTACGGGAGTATCAGCACGTGGGATTGCACTGGCTAGCCACGATGCACGCGCGCTGCCTCAATGGCATCCTGGCCGACGAGATGGGCCTCGGTAAAACGATTCAGACGATAGCGTTATTAGCGCATTTGGCTCTGGAGCGCCACGACTGGGGTCCGCATTTGGTGGTGGCTCCCACCTCCGTTGTGCTCAACTGGGAGATGGAGTTCAAGAAGTGGTGTCCGGCCTTTAAACTACTTACCTACTATGGTACTATCAAAGAACGCAAACTGAAACGGGTCGGTTGGACAAAGACAAATTCTTTTCATGTCTGCATCACCTCCTATAAACTAGTCGTTCAGGATCATCAGAGTTTTCGTAGAAAAAGGTGGAAATATTTGATACTCGATGAGGCACAAAACATAAAAAACTTCAAGTCGCAACGGTGGCAAATGTTGTTAAATTTTCAAACAGAAAGGTACGTCAACTATTTCATTTTATATGTATGTAAATGTAATTTTTATGTTCGCTCGGTGTTCTGATAGCATTGTATGGCTAAGATAAAATAAAGTTTTCTGAAACACGTTAGACTTTATCGAGAAATCTAGATATGTAATGACAAATCATCTATATTTTGATATTCCATCAAATGGACCATGCTCTGTCATAAAAAAACCGTAGCTAAGAAGAAGCAAAAACGCAATACACACTATAATATAATCATTGTGTTATTTTTAATTATTTTTTGTCTGACTTGTTTCGATTGGACAGGCGGTTGCTTCTAACGGGGACGCCTCTACAGAACAGTTTGTTGGAGCTGTGGTCGCTTATGCACTTTTTGATGCCGGATGTGTTCGCTTCGCATTCGGAATTCCGAGAGTGGTTCGCACCGGTGGCCGGCATCGCGGACGGTACGCACCGCTACAGTGACGATTTGGTCCGCCGCCTTCACGAGGTAGATAAGTAATGTAGTAATGCCAAAGACTCGAGAATAATGCACAAGACATATAGAATAATTTTTTGTCGTGTCCAGATACTACGGCCCTTCCTTTTGCGGCGGTTGAAAGCGGACGTAGAACGGCAGATGCCCCGTAAATACGAACACGTGGTGATGTGTCGGCTCGCCAGACGCCAACGGTTCCTTTACGACGACTTCATGTCGCGGGCTAAGTGAGTACTTTCGTCCCGGCGCTACTTCTCGCGTCATTTGTCTTGAACGTAGGTCTATAGTAATAAATACCCGAGATGCATATTATAAAGCTGTCGACCTATATTTCAGAACGAAAGAAAGTCTGGCGTCCGGCAACCTCCTAAGCGTGATCAACGTGTTGATGCAGCTGCGCAAGGTGTGCAATCACCCCGACCTATTCGAGCCCCGTCCGGTCACTTCGCCTCTGCACTTGTCGGCCCTTCAGTTGCGGGTTCCCGCTCTAGTGCTCGTGTCGGAGATCGCGGTGCGCGAAGACGTCGCCGCAAGCCTCGCCGGAGATCTCGCCTCGCTCGAGCTTTGCGGGGGGGAGGCTTTCGCGGCGCACCGCGCGCGCCATCTGGCTCCTCCGCGGCGTCTCGTGGAAGAGCTTGCCGGTCCTGCTCCTTGCGCACGAGCCCCGAGACCTCCGCCGGCCGCACTTCGCTTGCACCTTCGCCTGGTGCCGCGCGCCCCGCCATCCGCCGCTCGCGCAGCGCCGCCACCGCGTCTTCTGTCCGCTCCGACGCTGCGCTCTACGCCCGCAGCTTCCGCACAAAGCGTAGCGGAGGCGACTGCGGGCGCCGGCGCACGGCTCGAAGCGGCGAGGCGGGGCTGCTTTAGGCGACTGGCAGCGGTAAACGAGCGCAGATGCTGGCGATTGCCGCTTTACGGAGCCGATCTACGCACGGCCTTGGAAGTGCAAACGCCACCACCGTCGATACCGTCGCTCTCGCCTAAAACCATCGATGACGTCCTTCGTGAAATGCATGACCTTATCGACCGGTGAGTATTTTTCTAATTTTCCCTGGCACCAGTTAAGATATACTTTGATTGTTAAAAAAAACGTTAAACAAATAGACTTAATGTTTCACTTAATTATATATACGTGACGTAAATACAACAGATACACAGTAAAAGAAAATATCTAAAAAGTAATAACAATAATTTTGTAACTACGACTTAAGTATTAATTTAGATATACAAGTTTTGTATTTAAAGATACCACTAGAAAAAATATCGACTGAATTCAAATTCTTATTATAAAAATCACAGCTTCTTATAATGAAACTATTTTTCACGTAGTTAGTGCTCGCTATGGGAATGTGAAACGTCTCCTTGATGCGGGAAGAAGAGCGGGGGACTTTAAAACCGATTTGCTCGAGAATAGGTATAGAGTCTATACTGCTATGTATTAGTTTGTACAGACAAATAGCATCTAAATAGTCACGGCGTGACCTTAGTGACTTAATTCCCATTAGTTTTGGATTTTTTAATATGTTAGGGAACTCAGATTCACTACAATTTAACGATTATATGAAACCCAATATTTTACAAGCTCTAGACACTATATTATCAATATGAACATTGAATTGTAGCTTGGAATCAAGAGTGACTCCAAGATTTCTAATAGAAGTTACTCGACTTAAAGTCCTATCAAGTAATTTGTAGTCATATTTTAAAGGCCAATATCTTGGTTTAAATTTTTTAGCGACACAAAGGTCAAAAATTAAACGGGTACAAAAAAAAACTTTTTGTCAACAGTTAAAAGATAATTGATTTTCATAACAATAATTTTCAAAAGACTGAAGATCCTCACGCAAAAAACTGCTGAAGCTCAATACAGTCGTTAATTGAAATTATGACTTTAAATAGGTTTTAGTGGTCCTCTGCATTTTTAAAGCAAATTTTGTGACTTGATGTTTGCTGGAATAATTAAACAAAAAAAAAAAAAAGGGGGAAAAAAGAGGAAAGGAAAAAAAAAAAAAAAAAAAAATTATTTAAAGTTTTTTTTTTCTTCTCCTTTTTGTATTTTAACCCGGTAGGGGGGGGGGGGGAAGGGGGAGGGCCGAGCCTGGTTTTTTTTTTAATTTTTATTTTTATTTAAGCGTTAGGGAAGGCCGTTTGATTGTAAGTGTGAAGGTAAAAAATATAAAAATCGTGAATAGCAAGGGCCCTAAATGGGATCCTTGAGGTACTCCAGAGGGTATCGGGAGGAACCTGGAACGGTATCCGTTCAGAGCAACAGCCTGACTACGGTTATTAATGTAAGAAGCTATCCAACGTAGAAGATTGCCATGAATGCCGATCCCCAAAAGCTTGTCTAAAAGAAGAGAATGTTTTATTTTATCGAATGCCCTTGAAAAATCAGCATACACAGCATCGACCTGTTGCCATATAGCTAAGGACTTTAAGGTATAATCTGTAAAGGAAATTAAGTTAGTACTGACACTACGACCTTGAACAAAACCATGTTGCTCATTAGGAATATGATTGTGCGTACGTAAGTTATACGTAAATGTCTAGCTAGTATTTTCTCCAGAATCTTACCGAGTATGCTAAGTTTAGATATGGGTCTGTATTGTTTGACGTCATGAGGGTCGTCACCCTTTGATATAGGTGTTATCAAAGCTCTTTTCCAAATATCTGGGAAACAGCCTTCAGTAATTGATTTATTGTATACTATGGTTAAAGGTACAGAGAGTTCAGAGCTAAGTTTTTTAAAGGAGGGTGAACGTCGAACCAGGACCTTTGTTAACGTCTAACTGGTCGAAATGTTCCAAGTCTTGGGGGATATCAAAATGGGAAATGTCTACCAAAGGATGTATCTGAGAATTTGCAGTTGCATAATTTTGATTTAAGTTTGGAGAATTGTAACTAAGATTATCATGTTGAACAAAAACCGAATTAAAATAACCGTTGAACAGGTTGCAAATAGTATCACCATCTTCAGAAGTAAAATTGTTGTAATTTATATAAGTAGGGATATTGTTTACGCCTTGTTTAGATTTTACATACGACCAAAGATATTTAGGGGAAGCACAAATATTTTCTTCTCATAAATAAAAAATAAAAATAAAAAGCCTTTTTTCCTAAATCTGTTTACATTAAGTACAAATATTAATATAGGTCCCCTAGATAACCCTGGGTGTAGGCCTCCTCAAAGGTCAGCTTGGTTTCGTTTATTGGGGCCAGCTTGCTGTAGTGTCCCCCACGTACCGGCCCCCGTTTCTTTGGGCTGTCCAAAGGAACTTCCGTCCACCTATCGTCCTTTAATCTTGCTACATCCGCCATTTCCCTTTAGGTTGTGCGTAGTTCAGTGCATCGATGGCTTTGTACTTTCATTGGGTGTGTTGTCACTTAGTCATGTTAAGCATGTCCGTTGACCACGTTCAAGTGATATTTTTTATGGTGAATTAGAGAGAGAGAAGGAGGCATGATTAAAACTTAATATGATTTTTAAAACTTTATTTAATAAGGGGTTTTCTTCTCTTTGATAAAATTAGTATAACACTGTTTTTGTAACAACTTTTCTCTAGCACGTAAGAATTTGAAATCCAAATAATCACGGGGGTTTTGTAACGTTTCCATTTAGAATGAATTTTTAATTTTCTACGTATAGTTTTTATTAACTCTTTAGAATACCAAGGAGGGGAATTTGTAGATACTGATTAATTAATCATTAGATTTTATGTAAAATGTATAAAAATATTCTACAGATTGATTAATATTTAACGATGATAATTCTTCAACCCATTTAACGCTGGCAATTTCTCTTTTTATGCTGACAATATCAGCCGCATGATATAACCGTTTAATTCTGCTTTTCTCGGCAATATATCGAATATTGCAGACGGAAAGCCGAATATCAAGTGCCTTGTGCTGGAGATCCTCAAAGACAAGGGTAGGATTAGCTGGTTTTACTTTACAATTTTTAGTATTCAAGACGAGGTCTAAAACACGATTGTTTGTATTGCGACAATTATTAAATTGGCGGATATTACTAAAATTCATAAAGTCCATCAAGGCATATACTTTAGAATCGTTTATTGTTGTACATAAATTAAAATAAGTACAAACGTCATTAAATATGTAGAACTTTCCTTATATATATGTAAGAAAATTTTCAGGAATTATGACTTTAGATAAACAATTGCGTTGCTCTCTGTAATAAAAATTTATTTCCTAATTTACACAAATACAATACAATATAAGTGCTCAAACATAACAACAAACCCAACTTGTCTGTAATAAAAGAAACAGCATTATACTTAGAAATCATGTATCCTTTTCCTTTTTATAGCCCCATGGTGTCAATGACCCACATACACAATGACACTCAACTTTAAAACTGAGCTATAACTAGAACAAGTTAAAACTACAGAAGTATGTTTTTACATATATTCAATTTTCTGAATTGCAGGTTCGGCGTATGCTGCGGGGGTTGTCGCGCACCCGCTTCAGCGCTAGTTGCGGGACGAGGAGTGGGAGCGCGAGAGTGGCGCCGCAGCGTCGACCGTCTCAACCGCGACTTGGCGCCTTCGCTGCGCGCCGCGTTACGGTCGCTGCACACGCCTGTCCTTCGACAGGCCGTCGCCTTCCCGCATCCGCGCCTCCTTCAGTACGATTGTGGCAAACTGCAGACCCTAGACTCGCTCCTTCGCCGACTCAGAGCCGGCGGCCACCGGGTGCTCATATTCACGCAAATGACGAGGGTCCTAGACGTGCTCGAGGCGTTCCTGTCGCTTCATGGCCACACGTATCTGCGGCTCGACGGCAGCACCCGCGTCGACGTGCGACAACCGCTCGTCGACCGCTTCAACAGCGACCCGCGCATTTTCGCCTTTATCCTCTCGACGCGCAGTGGAGGCGTCGGTCTCAACCTGACGGGCGCAGATTCCGTCGTGTTTTACGATTCAGATTGGAACCCGACGATGGACGCGCAGGCTCAGGACCGGTGTCATCGTATAGGTCAGACTCGCGACGTGCACGTCTATCGGCTCGTCACGGCCGCCACCGTCGAAGAGAACATCCTGCGCAAGGCCGAGCAGAAGCGAACTCTAGGCAACTTGGCCATCGAGGACGGCCACTTTACCACCTCCTACTTGCGGGCCGCCAACATACAAGAACTGTTCGGAGGCAGCGGTGACCCCGTCAAGGAGGGGTCTGCGGAAACGGCGAGCGGAGAGGGGGAACTGGAGAGCGCGTTAGCCGCGTGCGAGGATGAGGCGGACGCCGTGGCCGCACAGGCGGCGCGCGCCGAAGCCCAAGGAGACCTCGCCGAGTTCGACGAGAATGTCCCTCTCGATGACCTGTCCGACACGCCTGCGACTGCTAATCAACATCCTGACCAGAAGGACGAGTTCGCAGCGCTCATGAAGCAGGTCGGTAGCGATAATGTTCATATTATTTATCTTATATAAGTGCTTTTCAAATACCAACCTTGTTGTGTATTTAGTCTTGTTTGATAAAACATTGTATAATAGATAGTCTATACAGCAAGTCAGTGTTTATCGACAAAAGATTGAACTCTATTGACTAAATGATAAGGCACCCGGTTTTTGTAATGACAGACAAGCACGGGGTTCACTTGGTCCTAGGTAAAACACAACGGCCTTATAACATATAGCAAAAGCCCTGTCGCCCTATCTTATTGGCACAATATTTATTTATTATGGTACATCAACAGATCACTTACATGTAGTACATTATACTTAACATCATATTAAGGACTAGGAAACAGCATTGTTATTTTAAAACTATTATTAAGAGTACAGAATTCGGACCTAATATGAATCTGATTAGGACGTCGTCTCACTGAAACCACGTTTATGAGAAGTAATAATTGAACGTTGCAGCTGAGCCCGGTGGAGAGATACGCTATGCGCGTCGTCGAGGCCAGCGAAGCCGGCGGAGAAGCGGAGAGGGCCGCGCTGGCCGACATGCGGCGACAATTGCGGGACTGGGAGCAGGCGCGGAGGAACCTGCGCGACCAGGCCGACGCGACGCAGCGGGACGAGCGGCTGAGCTCGCCCGACCGGAACGACGCAGACGCGAACGAAGTGCTTACGTACAGCGGCGAAGACGCACGCACACAGGTGCGTGCACGGCGAAGGACGAAACGCTCCGCGCCGCCGCCTCCGCCTCCTCCTCCCCCCCCCCTCCCCCCTCGCCTCCCCCCTCCCCGCCGGGCGTGAAGGCGCACGCGCCGCGGACACGCTCCCGCGGCACGGTACACATCAATCTGTGGACGCTGGACGAGGAGAGCAACGGGGCCAGTCTCACGGGGCGGCGGCGCGCGCTGCGCAACGGCACCCTGGACGCGTGGTTAAACCGCGCGGACGCGGACGGGGACGGGCGAGATGTTGATAATAAATGATTCACAACCGCACACGTGTTTTATATTTCTGACGTTCGACGTTTTGGTGCCGCTCGATACTCGTCCGTAAATGCTTGACCCCGTTCGTTGTCGGCCGGTGTTCTCGCGAGGTGCCACCAAAACGGCGACGCCGAACGTCAGGGATGTAAGACGCGCAAGCATTTACGGCCGACTCGAGCCTCCACTAGCTCCCCCTCGGCTTTGACGAATTCGACGATTGCAATTTATAATGTACTCGGAACTGAGAAGACTGTACACATACGAAGAGATGCGAGACGCCTTTTCACGACTTTCATTTAAATGGAGCGATCTTAGTACGCGCGAGTTTGATTCTTATTACAAATTACTGCATGCAATTTGTAAGGCGTTTCCGTTTTTAAGCTTCAACTAAAACGCTATCCCATGTTATGTTTCACGGTGTGAGGTGTTCGCTCTGAGGTGTGTATAACACAACTATTACTGTTTTACTATTTCTTATCAACCCCTAAAATACATTATTACAAGAACTATAATATGTATGTTTTTCAGGTGTGGTTGAGTGACTTAGGTGCTGTCGAAAACATGCCGGTGAGTGGCGCACTGGGAGCATCCCAGAGTGAATTTCAAACGTTAGCTCATTTAGTCCACTGAGATGCGTCATTGCACTGCTTCAGATCTGGTGTCCGCCTACGCCTCCTTCCAGCGACAGCGACGTGTACTGCGAGAGTTGGGCGCGCGCCCTGTACAGGCGGGGCGCCGCCGCCGACGCGCTGCTGCCCGCCGTGCGGTGGCGCGACGCACGCTCGGCGCGCTCGCCGCGGCGCATTCGCCCCGCCGCACGGGCTGCACCGGCTCCGCCGTCGCTCTTCGGAGCGCGACCACGTCCTCGCTTGCGCCCCGCTCACTCGCATCCGCCGCTGCGCGACCCGGCCTTACCGCCGCCCGACTGGGCCGCCTGCGAGGAGGCCGCCCTGCGTCGTGCGCTTCGTTCGCAACGGCTCCCCGCCGAGCCCGCCGCCGCTCTCGCGCCCAACTGGGAGTGGCTCGCCGAACTCGTGAATGAGGTTTCGCGGGCGTATCGCTCTCCGCGCGCTTGTCGCGATCGCCACGACGCGCTCGCCGACCCGGAACGCGCGCGTCGAAAGCACCGCAAGCCGGCGCCGGCACGCCGCCGCGCGGACGACGAGGCTCCGCGACCGCCCTTGTCTCGCCTCGACGCAATGCGGGACGCTGCCGAACGTCGCCGCGCCGCACCCAAACGTCGGCTCGACGACGCCGCTCATAGGAACCCCAAACATGCGGCCCTGCTCGCCGACCACGGAGTCGACTATGAAGCCCCCCCTACGCCGATGGAAGTCGCGACGAGACGCGCCGAACGCATCGCTAAGGAGAAGATGAAAGGCGCTAGCGGCGGGAGCGGCGGTGGCGGAGTCACGAACGCCGGACCTAGTACCGGTGCACCGCAACGCGTCGTGGTAGCGGGTGGGGGCGGAGCGAGCGCCCAAGTTGTCTACCGGCAACAGGCACTGGCCGCCCGGCATCACCTCAAGATCTTGCACCATTCCGCGCCCCCTCACTCGCAGGTAAAGTTATGGTCGGTGCCATTAGAATGGAATCTTTTCCACGTTTTTCTCCACCTAACAATAAACTTCAGAAATCTCGTAAAAATCAAATAACAACCTTAATGCAAAAATTACTACAAAATGATTTTATTTATTTACATTAAAAACACTGAGGAATATTAATATACAGAATACACGCTGCATCTAGCTTAGAAAGTATATGAATAGTATGCACTTGTAGTGAATAAAGGCAAACAGTCAGATTTTTAAACTTTTACGTATTTACAACGCGGGTGCAGGCTAAGTGGTTGAATCATCTAAAATCTATTAGAAGCCTATTTACATTCAGTTTGAAACTTACTATATTAAATTTAGCTGGAAAAACAGACGATCCCGTTCGTCGTGAGGATCGGTGAAGAAAGTAGATCCAGGAGAAGAACCGGCTGGAAACTTAGTACATAATTATAATACGGCCGACGTAACTTGGCAAGTCTGAACAAGGTTAGACGAACAGTCGTAAGAATATGTACGAAGCTTTACGAAATAAACAAATAGAGATGTCCATACGCGTTCCTTGAGAGTGTCGTTTAATTGAAAAATGGTCATTATATAAACTCAACTCAATTTAACAAAATCACGTAGATAAACAAAGAAAAACAAGCTTTTTTTCCTTTAAAGGTAACCATGGTATCGTTTATTAACAACACCAATCACAGTGCTCATAAATCCATTAACTACAATATCCTAAACGATTAAAAGTTCATAAACTAAATCAATTACCAAATTTGATAGGATAAACGGTCGATTGTGTTGACATTGAGCGCGCACTGGTGATTTTTGTCACGGTGACTTAAAAGTGTTTGTCTTTGTCACGTCACGGTTCCAAAGTGGAGTGCGCTCACGAATAGAGACAGTGACAAAACATTTTCAAAATCGGAAGTGTCATTTGCCACTATGGATTTCGAAGAACGGTCGTTCTCTGTGAATTCTTGAGACTCGGGAGAAAAAGAAAGCGTTCATGAAAGTCCATTACAAAGTTACGACGAATCCGTCCGAAGGAATTATATCAGCAACAAATATACGTAATTATACGTCTTACTTTACTTCACCGCCCAATTGTCACGTCGTAACATGCGCGCAACTCCATACATATTCACGGACTGGACCAGAGTGACGACGTGTCACCGTGACAAAAATCATCCGTGCGCGCTAACTCTTACACCACCGTTAACGTCGTAAGGAACATTTCTGCGCAGCGGTTGCGCTAAGTTCAGACTTGGCAAGTTACGTCGGCCGTATTATACTCTTTTTAACATAATTTATTAATTAAGTAACTAATGGTAATTTATTAGTTCTTCTCATCATCATCATCATCATCATTCATCTTTTGCTTGCTTTTCGGATTGCACTTGAGATCCTGCAAAAAAAGTAATGTTAATAAAGGATATAAAAATAAATATGAATTGTGCCCGAACATTGCGCAACTCACTAATTTAATAAATAGCGAAATTAGAAATATAAATTTTCTTCGTAAACGGACTTATCTTCAACTGTTCACATTGGAAGAGTACAGTTTGTAAATTAGAGTGCTAAACCCTCCGTAATCCGCTATTTAATGATAAATGTAAGGATTAATTTGAAATCGTTATCAACATCGATATTCGTTCTTTTTAGAATTATTTCTGAAACATTGACTATACATTAAAATAATTAAAAGACATGGGCAGTACTCGAACCCACAGCATTCCGTGCCGTTGCTCTAACAAATTAGGCGTGTCCTACACGTCATCTTTGGTTTTTTTTCAGACAAATTTCTTGTCTGAAAAAAAAAACCAAAGTGTGTGTAGTAATATGTAGAATTTATTACAGAGTGTGGTGACGAGCGGCAGCGGTACTAGCGTCGGCGGAATGGTGGCCAGCGTGGCGAGCGTCGAAGCAGCTACGGCCGCGACCGGAGTGGCGGGGCAGAATGCATTGCGGACCTTGCAGCTGCAACAGCTGGCTCTGCGTCGCGGTGCCAGGCCTCACCAGCACGTGGTGTTGGCTCACTTGGCGCCGGCTCCTGCTGTCGCTCAACAGACTGTCCCCACCACCCAGCAATCGGCTACCACGCAGCATCACCACTCACATGATACGCGACACTGATAAAATTAAAAATTTCTTCGTGACTGGCAAAAATGATCAACTATGTATCATAATACTAACTTTTGTTGTTTTATTAATATATATGTATATCGTTTTATTGTTATAACTGTGATGAAGCTGAATAAGTTATCGTTCGTTTCATTTGATTACTGTCCCATTGCTGGGCAAAGACGGTCAGAGACGTGAGTGAGAGTTTAAGAGCTTAGACTAGTAAAGCTGACTTAAACTTATAATAGTAGGCACGAGGGTAAAGACTCCTCTCCTCTCGGTCTGGCATTGGAACCTTGAATCTCGAAATCTTGAGTTGGCTGCACCGACCGCTAGAGGCGAGACGAACGAGGCTGTAATGTAAGTTATAATCCACCTTAGTTGATATAGTTGACAAGGCTAATTTCCACTGGACGAAGATCGGTTAGTAGATATTACAAATAAAATAAATTTTGGTATGGGAATGCCATTTATGAGAAAATATTAATTACTCCGAGCAAGCTCCCTCTTTAAGTCTCCTCCATATAAGATTGCGTTCTACATCTGTTGGAGATCCTCCAGCGGCGGCAGTAGGTAGTTATTTATAGAATAGATAAAATTTCTTAGTTACCATGCTGTAATTTAAAAATAAAAGAAAATTAATTGTTATTTGAGAATATTAATAATATAGATTATAGGTATTCCTCGATAATTAATCGATTGCATTTTATCGAACTATCCCTATTCTTTCCTCGTCCATGTTGGCAATATTGATTTGACGGTTTTGCTTTTGTTAGGTTGGTATCGGAAGTAGTGGCTCTTTATGGGCACAGGATATCGAATATAATCCATGTCCAGTGGGTTATTAGGAAAATAAATTTTGATGTTTAAAAGTTACGATATGTAACGACAAAAGGATTTAACAGAGGCTGTTGTGGGTTAAAATAAGAAACATGCGGTGGTTAACATAACTATTATGTGCGATCGTCTACTTAGACAACAAATGAAACGGGCTTCCAATTATATGTCCACTTGCACCTCGAGAACTGAGGAGAATTTACGAAGAATCGCTTATCCCTTATTCAAATCAAAATAATTTAATCTACGCCAAAGCATATCCACATAAACAGTGGTATAAGAGATTACATAATGGGTTACAATTATCACATACATTAACTTTGCTGTGGAAGGACATCACATTTTGCTGCAACAGTAGATTTGCTAGGATCTTCCATGGATAGCAGTTAGTATGACATCCTGAAATTAGGGGTTTAAAGTTATTAAGGAGAAATACAAGTGTAGATTTGAAATAAACTATTTCACAAAAAATACCTTGTACCTATGTAATAAAATTGATACTAAGCCTACGAAACAATATTCTTAATATAACTAATGATATTAATGTACTTACAATCACTAAGTGCGATCTCCATACTCCGAAGAAGTTATCTTATATTTTTATTTAAAGGAGTTTTGTGAAACTGCGTTGCCGGGACGAGGTGGTAAGTTAGTCCAAAACTTAGTACTTTACATGCTCATATACATCAACATACAGACAAACGCTTAAACATGTCATCATACTTACCCTATACAATGATAAAGCACATTAAACAGTATTGTTTACATAAAACTGTTAGCTCAATCTCCTTGTCGTTTGCATTTTTTACTATCCACTAGTAGATCTACCCTCAATTATTTATATTATTTTATGCTAGCTAGTACGTACGGATTATGGATTTGCCCTCTACAATTGTATGCAATAGATGGCGCTACCGTACATCATATAAGATTTACCGAAAAAAAAAGATATTACCCCGCTGAAACATGCCGGTAAGGTGTTAAATGTCAAGTTTTTTTTTTAATAATATACGGAGTTTTAATCTTCAAAAGCGCCATCTACTGTTTTATTCTCGAACTTACTCGTATTTCTTCTTAGCGTGTAGTGCTAAAAATTTTGTACATTTAAATGACTGGATTCAGATTTGTTTTACAAAGAAAAAACACATGATTTCATTTAATATTTGTTCGCATCTATCGTGGCTGCCTATTATAAATTACACAACTTTGTATCTTTTTGGGTATTTTTTTGTATTGGGGCAGCGAGTAATTGCAAAAGGGTTAAATTATATATAAAAGAAAAAATTTGAAACATCGCATTTATTATGTTACTGGATTATCATTTCTTAATTTTCAAGTTAAGCATAAATGGGAGACTCTAGCTAAGCTCTTGAAAATTAGCAATTTTTAAATAAAAGCTATATTATATTGGAATGTCGACAAATGAAAAATTACCGGTATTCTAATTTTCTACGTTACGATTATATCTAACGATACAAGGCAGTTCACTGACTATTCAAAGTGTGCTCGGTCAGTCGTTCAGTGCAGAATGGCCATCGCTCGACGCTCAGTATTCAGTAACGCTCGGGCCGCCGCGGAGGGAGGTTGCGTCATTTCAACGTTCACTCGTTCTTCACGTGTTCCACGTCTAACTTACGAGCGAAACATGTGTTGTTTATTCGATCGTATACCATTGTATAAAGGATTTAAAGTGAGTCGAAAGTGAGATTTGTGTCATCGGGTGCCAAAACATGATTAACCGTCGTCAGAGTCGACCGACGTGAAAGTGGTCGGAGTGCAAATAGTGCTCGTATTCGCAGCGGCACAATGTTTGTGAGACTGTGTACGTTCATTCTAGTGTGGGGCGCAATTTGCGAGAGTGAAAGCGCGCGACCCTCACCTCTGGCGGTGCCGCGTTGCTGCCCGCCTCAACACGGGATCTCCGCGGCGTTTCTGCGCTCGCATCTGCTGCGGTCGAAGACGCTACCGGCCGCCTGCGAGCGACAGGAGCCAACGGTGCCCTGGGCCCCGCTGATATACGCACCGGCCCGCGGTACGTTCTTAGAACGAGGCCGCCTACCGCCTCATTGGCGCGAAGCGTGGTCGGCGATCCCCGAGTGTCCCGAGCTGCGTGTGGTCCTAGAGCACGCCGCTCCCTACGCCTTGCTCGCCAACAACGGGTCCTTGCTATTGCGCGGGGCGACCGGGGCGCTGCCGCCGGACCGCTACTGTGCTGATGTCGCCGCCGCTCTCGTCTGCGCGGAGGACGCCGAAGAGCCCGGTCCGTCGAAGTGCTGTGCGGCGGGTCGCGCTTTCGATGGATCTCGATGCATCGAGGACGAAGCCCTTAGCGAGGATGCCCTCGACGAGTTACGGACCTTTGCCAACGGTAGCGTAGTGGTAGGCGGTTGGCCGTCTTGCGCGGAAGGCGCCAATTACTCAGTAGCGGGATTACTCCGCACCGGACGGCTCGTAGCTGACGGTGCGTTGGAGTTGGCAGGTGGGAAGTTGCCAGCGGGCGCTTGGTGCGCAGAGGCTGTGAAGGGGGAGAGAGGAGAGAGCGGCGCACGCGTTCTGACTTGCGAGGAGTTGGCGCGCGCGCTGCGCCCAGTGCGCGGTGCTAGGCACGCGTTGTACGGCGCCGGGCTCGCCGTAGGAGCGGCTTTCCTGGCCGCTACGCTGGCTGCAGGATTCGCGCTGCCGGCCGCTCACCACGCTTTGCATTGGCGCTGCCAGACTTATTACGTTGCCGCCCTGATGCTGGGCGATGCGCTGCTGGCGGCCACGCAATTAGCCGCTGAAGCAGTGCCGCCTTCACTTTGCCGTGCACTCGGTAATTATTTCGTGTTCTCTTTGCTTTTTACGAGTCATACCCGAGTACGGTAACAAATGCTAATATTGTTTTCTTCTCTTTTCTTATATGTCGTCGCGGGACAGCCGTCTGTATGCACTTCCTCTTCCTCTCCGCCTTTTTCTGGCTGAATACGATGTGCTTCAACATTTGGTGGACTTTTAGGTAAGTGATTGTTTTCATTAGTTAAATTGTTCTCTCTATGACTAAGCCATGTATAGGTATATGTTAGGTAGTAATAAACAACACATTATATGTAAATAAATGTAAAAAACATAGATTGTCGGCGATATTCTGTACAGCTAATCAGGACATAAGGTGTTTTCCAATTAAAGGAATATTCATTTGCTCTTTAGTTTTGGCCGCTTCTTATGATGCACCGCTTCGTGCATTGTATGGGCCCCATACCCATTATGTCGTTTTTATTAACTATTAGTAGTAGGACTCAACCCAGGAATGTCTCAACTTGCAGAGATTTCCGACCGACGTCGCTCGAGCGCGCCCAAGAATCGGTGCGCCTGCGTATCTACATGGTGTACGCTTGGGGCGGGCCGCTCGCCCTGGCCGGGGCGGCGTTACTGCTAGACGGATTGCCCGCTGACGCCGCTCCCGCGTTGCTACGTCCTCGCTTCGGCGAGCAGCGTTGCTGGTTCTACGGCGATCTTGAGATTCTCGTTTATTTCTTCGGGCCGGTCGGCGTGTTATTGCTCGTCAATTTGGCTCTCTTCCTCTCCACTACGCGTCAGCTTACCTGCGGCCTCTGGCGTCGCGATGAAGTCAAGTCCACATCGGAGAGGTGATTATCCCTATTATATTCGTGTCCTTCATACGTCTCTTTTTGCAGATGATAAAACTTTCGTTTGTTGTAGGGCGGCATTGGGACGCGTATGCGCCAAACTAGTGGTAGTGATGGGCGTGACTTGGGGAGCAGACGTGGTGTCGTGGGCTGCAGGCGGACCGGAGTACGTGTGGTATGCCACGGATTTAGTGAATGCGTTGCAAGGTGTATTTATCTTCCTGGTAGTGGGATGTCAACCGCACGCTTGGGCTGCGTTGAAACGCGCCGCCCGCGCTGCCGCGTCGTGTGCGCGCGCGCCGACGCACGCCGCTCACTCTTCTTCGCATCTTCCGTCCTGCGGCGAGTCCCTGACGCACACCACGGCGGCCCCGGCCCCGGTCCCGACGGCTCCCTCCGCGCAACGTCTGCCCATGGAAACGGTCTGCTGATGCGAACCATCAAACACCCTACTCAGTATTATTCTGCGTTCGTGTCGAAGCGAAAGTGTGGGAGTTGTGACTTGTGACTGAGAACAGATTTAATCGACGAGTGACAAGTGCACGATACGATCAGAGGCTCTGTACATAAGTATAGTTAAGCTATAGAAGTTTATTGCAGTTTGTATAAAATTATTACAATATGTATGAATGCGTTAATTTATATTGTGAAAATGACGATACGTCTCGCCCGTTAGATTGGCTGTTGAAATAAAGTGATTATAAATTCCGACCTGAAATCTTGGTTTCATTTAACGGACGATAATAAGCAAAGTCTCTTTATTACAGGAGTATTTGATTTTCGACGGTCTCGCTCTGCTTACGTTCTGTCAGTACTTAAGTCTGTCGGCTAGTAGCGAGCGCGTTTAAATCTTTTGCGTCGGACGCGATCGAGAGCGGTGGCCATCTCTCCCTAATACCACGATATGCACATCACTTACATCATTACAGAAATTTTAAAAGTAACAAAATATAATCGTTAGATTTCGCTATAGCCTTTTCCTATGTTAACGCTATTATTTAAACTATGAAAGACATTTGCCAGTCGCACACGAATTAATTTATTGCATTACTAATGCGTCTATAAGCAATGGAATCTCGCGTCAGTAAAGTGGCTGACGACGCTAAAGTTTTTCGAAGGGCAAAGAGCGGTCACTTGCATTGCACAATCGCTAATGTAGTATTTCCGTTAAGGAGTCCTCGACGACCCATTTCTTTTGTCGAGCGCGAGATGGTGACCTGGTGGTGGCTTCCGCTATTTGTCTAACGTTGCACGCGGTCCGCGCTCTGAGACGCCAAATGCTCCCCATTTTACAAAGACGTATTTTTTTTTGCTTCACTACATTTCGCGGCGTTATCTGGTGTCGCTCGCCCGATGCGTCGCCGGTTAGTGAACGTTCTGTGCGCGTTCGAAGTGAGTCACCGAAGGCCACGCTATCGGCTTTTCATACAATAGTTCGTCTTTAATAATATTCCGGTCATCGTCCCACTGACGATTCATTATTTAATAATATTTGGCTTGAGATAATCGTTACGGGTATAACGTTACACTCCGACGGCTCGTCTCGGAAATGTGTTTTCATAACTTTAGAAGTATACCTACTTCCGAATCGTTTTCATTGTTTAATAGAACAAAGCAGGTGACAACAACGCACGATCCAACAGATGTAATCCGAGCAAGGTGACGAAACTATCTTTTAACTCGTATAATTAGTAAATTCGGTTATCGCAAAACAACGTAATTTAACGTAACTTTATTCGTGTGCGGAGCGCAGGCGCAGCTCCTAGCTCGGTGCTAATTGATTCTAAATTGAGTGCTCTATTAGCGACTGCGATGTTGTTCACCGTCGGATTGTTTTGGTCTTTTAGACACAGTTCGGCCGAATTTAATAAAATGCTTAACACCGAACGTAAAATACTATAAATACGTAGAAAATTTTAAAACTTCATTCATTTAACCTAAAATAATTAAAGTTAACACTTCTATATTATTCAGTTGTTTCTCTTAGCGCTCGGAAGATAACTACATTACATTAAGCCCCCTTAAGTTACCCCTATGCCCTTGTTACCCCTATGCGATGGCAGACGGCGACCGACTGACATCGATTTAATTGTTTGCAGTTCACACGGCGATGACAGCTGTAGGCTGTGATGTGATAGCGAATTGACTATAAATAATTCTTACTTAATAAATACTGCCCTCGGTACTAAGGGAACGACAAGAAAAAACATCCTTAAAACTACTACGCATGCGTGGTGTTTTACATTAAATCTTCGTAAAAGTATCTCTCACATCTGCGTCGGATCAACCTGACAGCGCATGCCTATACGGGCAAATCATAATTATAACTAATTATCACACTTATCAAACTGTAGAAACAAAGTCGAGACGCTACAGTTTCATTAGTTTATTTAGTAAATACAATTTTGGAATTACGACTACAGTCATTATAACATGTCCTGCAATTCTGTTAGAATCTAAATCTAACTATAATATGCACTAGTGGAGTGGGAGAAAGCCCTTTGAACGTAGGCACTAAGCGAGGAGCGTGAAGGAATGCGGCTCAGTCGAACGCGGACGTGGGCTTAACTCAATACTGTCTGTTACTAATTATATTTTCTACAGGTACTCACTACCGACTCGGTTCATTGTGTCGGGAGTAAAATCAGACGCAATTCTAAATAACTCGTTTCTCTAATATGGAAACGATATTGAGCATCGATTCTTTTGAAGTCCCAAAATCGCCTATTCTATTACGATTTGTACACACGTTTAGCATCGTGAGGCATGCTCCCGTTCCTAATACTGTTGCACAAATAAGTCGTGAGCGCCTAACGGCCTTTCCCCCCGACCCTGAGGCGACCGCGACCGCAGCGACCCCCCGCAGGTCGACGACCCTGCGTTGGTCTAACCGAAACCTAAACATTGCATAATCTCACATAACACGGGACCGCGACAATTTACACGAGAGAAGTGCAAAGTAAACGATGCGCCTCGAGTGCGTTCGCGTTCTCAATCAGACATTCCCGCGGTGGACTCCTAATGACCACTGATAAGGTGATAAACGTAATGTCCACTCGCAACGAGTACTTCGCGAGTGTGCGTACGGGGAAGCCGTTGCTTACACGGGCGTGGAAAATAAAGAAAGCGACAGTTACTTGAGCTAAAATATCATTTATTCCACGACTAACTTTAGACAGAGATAAAAAAAACTTCGGATTTCTAATCTTTCGATATTTAAGATTTACCTTAATTATTTTTATGTATCTATGTGGTAATTATATAAGCAGATATTCAGCCCCAGATGCTTGCAAAGTGCAACTTTTCTTACGAAGCTGAGTTGAGACGAACAATGAGTGCATTGTGACGACGACGATGTCAGAGCGGGCACCGCTAGCCGTTGCACCGAGCGGTGTGGCGCGTAACCGACGACCTACAAGTGAAATGACACAGATCGAGCAGCTACACTCAGTGTCACCAGTGAGAAGGTTCTACAGCGCAGAAAACTGATAAAACGGTGTATAACGCCGTAAGACATGTGCACTATTCAAGATTCAGATCGCGGCGATGTTCCGTACTTGTCACCCCGAGACTTTACCGAAAAGAACTGTAGCGATGGGTTAGATCCTAATTCTTGTTGAAAGTGTGCCTAAATCTCTTGAAACTTATATTCTCACTAATATGTTATTGATTATCCACAGTCGATGCAATTCTGATGCGCTTCAAAGTCAGTTCCTCGGGGAGTACGAGTCAAGGCGCTCGATGTCAAGATCGGATGCTGCTTCAATCACTAAATCCTTCATCGTTAATACGAGAACTCGTACCGATTACTTGCTATTAGATCCATTCTACAGAGAAAACAAGTCATTGTTGTTTGTCAATGAGCAGTGGAATAGCGACATCGATGCTGGGCCAGAAATTCTTAGGAGTTAAGCGACCACAAGTAGTTAACAATTGATTGCAACGAGACGAATCAGAGGCAAGTGCAATTTGCATCAATCTGCAGAATAATTTACAATGGACAACAGACACGCGTCAATCTCACTCACGAGATAGCTTTGGTTCCATTCGACTTTAATTTGAATTTATTACGGCAAAAATAAATGATTATTATTGAATTGAATATTCTATCTACTCTTACCCTTCCATTGTACGTTTACATACAGTTCATTCACAGGTACACAGGACAACGAAGCTGGCAAGTTGTAAACCGCTGCTCAAAAGCACTCCGGGGCAGATAAATTAATACAAAAATCATTTACGCTACTGACCTTATTGTTATTCAAGTTCGCACATGTTTACATTCACTTTACAAAAATTTTAATATATCTTTAATGTATTCGTATTTTCTACATTCGGTGTAATTTGTGGGTAGTTAGTCGAAAAAATTAATAGTAAAAATTATCTTGACCTCACTTTCGCAACTAACATCCGATACATAGTTTAGCAACGAATTAACATTCTTCGCCTTTATTTCTATATTAGTACACACATTCGTCCAGCTATAATAATGTCCACGTTGGTCCCATTTTTCTATTCATAGTACCTACAATTGTTTCTTGTAGTACGTACGTTTCAAGAGCATAAATGATCCACACTCTGCAATACAATAAGTACTTACGTTTACTATTCAAATGGCAAAGAACTTAAAGTTATGTCGAGGCTGTTTGCAAGTGAAACCGGTTCGAAACTATATTATCAGCTACTTGTAGCTCGGAGTGTTTGCGACTCGTATAATGATACAGAGAAGCTCGCTAAGGCGACAGCTGCGGTCGGGCCAACTGCCGTCTCATTGACCCACCGACCCCTTTTTTGCTCGAGACCAATTTTGATTTTCGTAGCCGAAGCTGTCGACGCGACGCAAGTATCCATCCGGCGGTGCACATCGGACAGTATAGCGTCAGGTTTAAACTCTCGAAATTGAATTAGTGGAATCAGTAAGCAATTGTCCCGCTATAAATGTAATAAAGTCGTCCACTCACTCGTCTTTATGCGTTCAATGAGCAAAGTTCTCCTTGAAATGAATAGCCGCGTCTTATTCAAACGAGTAGGTACGATCGTCGACTATAGCGGCGATCTTTTCATACAATTTGATGTAATTTAGCTCAGACACGCCGACGCTGCGAAATTTTCAATTTGTTTCTATAAAGTTGATCATTGAATACGAGTTTTTATATCTAACGATGGGTGCAAAATTAATTAAAAATAACTCTTTAGCTCTTTAAAGAGAGTGCACCCCGGTGACCGCATTTCTTCGGAAGCCCACGAACAAAAGACTGCGAGTGAGCCATAATGAAGACGTTCGTAATACGCCACGCGTGAGTCTTCATCGCCGTAACGAGGACGAGCGCAGATAACAGATATTTACATAACAAATCGGTAACTTACATTTAATTGAGAAAAATACAATTATCATGAATCAATGTCGGCCGGGAGGCGTTATCTACGACAAATATATTAAACACTTCTTTATCGAGTTATTAATTTAATGTGCCGTGCGGGAAGGCGACTCGGTCGTGTAAATACTTTCGTTGGTGTTTTAATGCGCACGTCGGTTCGTCTTGTATTCCTATATCGTCTTGAAGCGATTCCACTTGTATTTGTAGTTTTTACATATAGGCATATATGTAAAAACTACAAATACAAGTAAACAGTGTAATCTGTAAGTTCAGACGTTACCTTTCGGCGTACGAGTTTATATTGAGTCACTGGAATTCTTAAAAAAAATAGTTCTAACCACACGAGAGACTGGTACCGATTGCTACATATTTATTGTAGTAAAGGGCATAGACCGACATTTATGGGAAAATATCTAGTTATAAGAATATTGTAAAAATTATGTTAAAAATGGTAGTAAAAAGTAATGAATTAGAATTCGAAATTTACTTTAAATTTACTTTATTTGATGTAATTTATATTAATTTCGTCGCGACTTTAATGTACCGTTGATTTGTGATCCTGAGGCCTTCAGTAGAACATAAAACAAGGTTTGCTTTCATTAATAGTGGATGAGATTTAAATATCCTTATATCTTTAACTACTCGTATACGGGCTTCTGCAACGGCCAACAAACATGTGCTCCCACCGCCCACCAAAACATAAACCGCGAACTTTACACACGGGTAAACAGCATTTTTATTAGTGAAACTTGTGATCCTTTGAACACATATAATTCATCTACGCGATAAAAAGTATTAAATTATTAATAAATTAAATAAAACACAGGTATCCAATCTCGTCTAAAGTACATTTTCTAGACACTTATTTTGAAGAACACCGCCATTCTTAACGTGACATCCTGCGTGGTTGGCGTTAAAGGTTTTGCGTGTGAATCCCACTTGACAAATACTTACACAATATAATATGTCCTTCTCATTCCTCACCAGTATCTTTCAACGTTTATGAGGCGTTCCCGCATAGTTGACAGCAACTGCTTCTTTTTACCAAATTAAAAGTGTATTATTATAGTAGAGGTAGTGCATTTAGTATGTAATTGAATCTTACTCTTTACAAACCGAAAGGTTAATAAACGATGTTTTTTTATTTTGAGTCCTGAGTCACACGACTTTTCCGGAATTCTATTAAATGTATGTAGTTTTTTTGTTAGTTTAGCTTTATCCATGTTCACTTTCGTTCGTACACAATTTGTACGTGAAATGTCAAACGTGAGACGGCTAAGGAGGCGAAGAACGGAATATCTGTCGTTATTAGGAAATTCTGTAATTTGCAAGACGATAAAGATCACTCGTTTATGCGGGATAAATAAAGCTTTAGTGTGCTAAGTGTAGATCTCGCGAGTCGCGACACGACGAGGTCGACGACCGACCCCTGCTGGCACGCGGCCACAGGGTTGACCGACACCGGGACTCAAACGGGTACGTCCATCGGTACATGCACATTTGCTCATCGACCGGCCTACTCTCCTTTGGTAACACAACGGCAAAGCAAGTGAAACATTCTTGCTACGTACACTATTCAGACACATAAATGCAGCTTCAATGTTACCATCGTGACAATATATTCGTCTGTAAACATAAATATTGTGTCTTAGTGCGTTAATATATCAGAGTAATATTTATTATTCTCATCTCGACGTGACAACCCTAAACGAGCAGGTGCACGGTTGTCGCAGCCCGTGACGCGTTCCACTCACAGATGTTGCAAATATTGTACACTAAGTTATTATTAATAACAAAATAAAATTATCGACACGACGAAGCATTCTTAACTGCTCGGTGACGGATTGGTGACATTTGGAAAGCGTATTTTGAAAATGTTAACAAAGCGAATTGTATACATCTAGAATTACCGTACAAAACAGAAATGCGGTCGCTGGCTCATTGCCCGGGGGAATAATTGAGTAGATTGCAATAAAAATTAATGTTTAGTTATTCAAACCGCGCCTCGTTCGAGCACTTAGCATACGCTATAACTATAAGAAGATTAGCAATTACCATAATTACAGCACATTTGCAAGTTTCACTGTGCCTTAGGAATGACGTTAGTTGCCTGCATTTCCTGGCGGTGGCTATGCGCGGTCGCAACCTGGCATCAGTCAGGCGTTGCGAGAAGCCCTTGTTACGAGTATAATACGACCGACGTAACTTGGCAAGTCTGATCTTAGCGCGAAACACTGCGCAGAAATGTTCCTTAGGATTTTAACGGTGGTAAGAGCGAGGTGCGCGGGACGGAGATCTAGGCTAGAGATTGACCAATTGTCAACACAATCGACCGTTTTCTCTCGAATCTAATAAATTTCGTAATCTATTTTGATTATGAATTTTTTATCGTATGGGATATTGTAGTAAATGGATTTAAGGGCACAGTGAATGGTGTTATTAATAAATGATACCATGATTACTTTTAAAGGAAAATAAAATCATTAAAAACTTGTTTTTCTTTATTGAACGAGGTGATTTAGTTAAATATAAGTTATTATTTATATAATTACTATTTTTACCTTCTTTAAAGCTTTTTATACAAATATATTTCTATGATCCAATTTAGTTTATTTCAATAGGAATCGATTAAACGACACCATCAAGGAACGAGTTTGGACATCTCTATTGGGTTATTTCGTAAAGCTTCGTACATATTCGGTAATGTTTGGTAAACAGTAGTATGTCTCGGTCACTCTTTGGCGTTTATTTCGTTATCTCTGTCCTGAGCGCAGTCCGTTAGAAAAGTGATTGTTAATTTAAGTATAAAACTTAATACTATTACATATTTCTCTTTTGATATATTTTTGTTTTGTCTCAGTATTTTAGTGAAAGATAAATGTTTGTAGCCCTTATTCTCTCTGAATCAATTATTGATATGTTACTTTTGCTTGCTATATGTAAAATCTTCAATTTATCCCAGTAACGAAATAAATGGCAATATTAGTTTTCTTTACGACTGTACATGCTCCAAAGTTTGTCTAACCTATGTTCATACTTGCCAAGTTACGTCGGCACTATTATAAGAGCGCGTTTATGCGGAAGCGCTGACTTGTGTCTTCTAATCGAGCAACGTATTGCTAGTCTAGTGTCCCGCTCATTACAACCTTATTTGCATGATGAGATATTACTAACAATTAAATTTTTTCACGTAGCCTCCTCACAATTGTCACTGAAACTCGTTTTTTATCATCCTGATGTACTATTGGAAAGTTACCGCCTACTAAGAGACAAATATTTTTCATAAAAAATCTAACGAATTACTTGTAGCTAATTCCGTCATAATGTCTTCTGTGAAGAACGACGACCGGTTCGTTGTATCATCAACGTATCAATTGCACGGACTGATCGACAGATTTATGTTCTTCTATTCTTGGTGACAGGACACGCGCCGTACTCGTTTTTCTTTGATTTCCCCTCGTGTTTTCGAGTATACGAGGAGCGGTCCACCTCATCATGCCACCGCCCGTTCATTGCCCGATCAAAAAAAAACGTAAATATAAAATACAAAAGTAAACTCACTCAGATTTGGATAGCCGATGTCTTCAATGAGTGCAATTCTAATTAAGGTCATAGTCATATTATTTCCTGTCACGTCTCTTTAGCGAGACAAAAAAAACCATAGTTCACACAAATGAGGAATGAGTTACGTCGGAGAACGAGGCGACGATTAGACCGTCTTTCCTTATTTAGATTTCTCACGTATGACTGCGTATGTCAAAGATCGTGTCGATGATTAATTTATATGTTTGTTATTGGCTTTTCCCAATCTCCAATATTACGCTCGACAAGATTTATAAGTTAATGGCCTCCTTTATCCCTTGAGAAAACAATAGATATGTTACGGCTGGTTAAAGACAGGCACGAGGGGGCGGCGAGCGGCGAGAGGGGGCGGGGTGGGGGAGATCCTCGGGGAGGCCTCGCAGGAATTTTTATTGCTTTCAGATATTTCTCTATCTAAGTGCAAATTGACTCGCGACGGCGCTATCATGACATGTCTTTAAAATTATTTAGCGCCAGGTATTCCGAGGCACGTTGGCATATTGCACAAATTGATCCTTTGACTGGAAGCAAATGGCAGAGCGGACTTTTCGCCGAAAGCACGGTACTTCAATGTGATGTTTGTTTGCCTCCTCGTGTTTGCTTCGTGTCTTATACTTTTGTAGCGATAGCTTGCTTTCTTTGTAACAAAATGATTGAAATCAATTTGGGCAGCGTCGCACCAAAGTGTGGAGCGTAGTTCTGATCGGCCGACCTCGAGAGCGAACGGTCGGCAATTATCAATTATTGGCCATTGTCTTTCTTTTACGGGCAAACGAAAAACAAATTCGGTCAGTTAAATAGTTTACAAGATAATTCTTTCTCGAGTGCAACGCGTTTTTTTATCTCATGCTTTAAGCCTATTCTTCTTGAATTAATTTCAGTTTTTGTTGTTGATAAAGTTAATTAATATAGAAGTTGTTCAATATACTACTCGCGTAAACTATAGACAGTATTTAATCGATTTTACTAAATACATAAATGGATATATTAACCAACGATTTACATTTTTTATCCTGAGATATTGAGCAATAATCTAAGTACTTGCCTTCAGCCTGCTTCCAAGAGCTAGGCTTCGGCCAACGTAACAGTACTTCGTCCCTTAGCGGGCTTGTACGAGACCGATCACATCCGGCCGTCTAGGGAGCCTCATTCTTCCTTACCGTCGCGAACTGGTTTTACAACTACCTGCTACTCTCACTGTGATCCCTAATTGCCGGTCACTCCGCTTTTTGTTACTACGCAGAACTGAATCTAATAACAGGAATACTTTGCCGTCCCCGCTTAGAGTAAAATATCATTTGATTTTATTTGAAAATTATTTTAACAACGTTTCGTCTTCCAACGTTTTCTCTCCGTGACCACGGCTGCTGCAAAGCATCTGAAACGCCAGGCCGTAGTTAAAATTAATTTTCAAATAGGTTTAACTAATACGTAAAACGCGTTTTAAACCGTTAAAGTGTTTTATTTAAATGTGTACTACTCGCGTTAACTAAAGACTTATCTAAAATCATAATTTTAAATAATTACTGTATTATTAAAGCAAATAATTTTGTATAAAGTTCTTTCTTTTATAACAATTTTAAGGTATTCTTTTTTGTCTCGGGTCATAAATATTTTATTTACCAATTGTGAAGATTTTTGTGTCTTATATAAAATATGATGAGAAATTGAGAGCCGGTCGCTTAACGTTATGTTAAATGAAATTGATATAAATAGAACGGGTAATATATTAAATAATAATAAAAAGTAATAGCCTTAACTAACTTCGCTTTTGATTAAATATGGACTATTTCTGAGAGAGTGTTTTATATTTTAAATAGGTTTATTATAATACCTTTATTTACCCCCAATTTTAAAATAACATTCTTTCAAAATTGTTTTTAAATTGCTCGGAAATATTGTATACCGCGACCTAATGACGTCACAGTTTCTTGAGACCAAGTAAGTTAGTGAAGTCAACAAAAAAACTACATTTAATATGAGCTCCAAGTTGGACTAATGCTGCGGAGTACCTGTATGTAAAACAATATAAAGAAAACACCCGAAAAGCTTTTTTTATGTTCCTCGTTCGGTAAAATCTTTTACGTATCAATAAAATGAAGAAAAATCATTCCTAAATTCTATAAATATCAATTAACCACTATTGTTTTCTCTAGATATATATAGGAAGGTGGTCAATTTTTAAAAATAACGTGTAATATAGTAACGAATGTGCGCGACATCGACAGTAAGTAAGTAAATGGACGGAACATAATTCTCAGACGCGTTATTTTCCCGGTATTCTGTACAATGGCTGCATTGAATCGAGACGTAAGCTGATCCGCCACCAGATGGCCTCTGCGCTGGTGCCTGATTTCCATTGACGGCTCCTATATCCTAGTGTTACCACACTGACTGTAGACACTGTTAGGAATTAGAACTGTTAGGAAACAGTGCCCGAACTGAAGCTTGATTTCTTATTACCACAGATATAATGAAAATAAAATAAATAATCTTAGTCTCGTCTCGCTTTTTAAAAATAAGAAAATTACTTATAATGACTTACAAGCAGAATAAGAGAAATACTTTCGATATTTCGTAAACGTTCTTGCAATTATGCGATATGATGTTTAATGTTTACCACGACTCCTTCTCCCTGGCTTTCTGTTGTAAAGCGATTTCGCGCGGATAAAATCAATTCTGTTGGAAAAGTTTGTTCTTAAATCTGAAATATTGTTATGTGTATGACTGCCATAGTTTTGTTCGTATGAACGAAAATTGGTTTAAATCCTTCAGCGAGTAAAAACAATGTCACACGAGATAACGTTATTACATAGCACGCTTACGTCGCAGACATAACACAAAGTTATTAAGGTAAGCATCGTTACTCGTTAGCGGTACTGGAGCAAGTAGCCCTTATCGCTGAGAGCTTAGTCGTGATAACGAGCGACATAGCTAAGTGCCCCGGATGTGCCTGCGCAGCCCATCAGGAGAGTGGGTTAATTTGTGAAGTGCAAAATACTTTTGAATATGGCTTAACCAAAAAAGGTAACGATTTGCATTTGTTCGTATATTCCGCTTTATCGTTTAAACAGACGTAAGTATCCTCAATAAGATCGCAGCTGTACTTAGGCCATTTTAATAACTATGTATATTTAATAGTAACAACTACTCTGTTCTCTCTTTAGTAATAAGAAATCGAAAGAAGATACTCTAATGAAGAGTAATGCGATACGGCAGAAGGCAAAAAGCAGGATCTGTCCGTCCATCAATCAACGCCAGAGCTCAGACGACGGACCACATGCTTCTCGTTAATGTTGAGTGTCGACTGAGACACACATTTGGTAAAACGGGCAATGTTATTAGCAGCTAAGATGGCGCCACTAGCCTACTTCTACTCGTGCTTATAAAATACCCATCATGCACCTTGAAGGTTTTACTCGAAATGTTTAGGTTGGAAAAAATAATATAGCCGTATAACTCCATATAGGCGTATCGTCTGACAGATGTTTGATAAGTCTTTCGTAAGCGTGCAATTATCTCGGAGAAAGTTCACTCTCGACCTTCCGGCTATACGTTGTCTTCTAGACCAAGTTTAAAATACCCTACACTGGCTTTCCATTAGAATAAATAGAGATGGAAGTAGCCAGCTCCGGAATCATTTGAAGGCCTCGCTGAGGCCGTTAGGCAACAAGAGATTGCACTTAAACGTTATACAAACACGATTAGCTTTGTCTCTCAATCCCACACTCTCCGAGTACTCTACAATCGGGTACGGTCTTACTCATGAGGTATATCGTTTTATTACATATTAAATCGGTACAAATTGTATCTTAATATTAATTTTATTATTTCATTGCGCCGAAGAGATATTTCCCTTATTTACCCAAACACATTTATAACGTGTGTTTTGATTCTTAAATATAATGAATGTACACCTATATAGTTGCTTCGTCTTATTAGCAATAAGAATTATCGTATGTATTGAAATTTGATATTTTACGATATAAATAGTGTGGCATGTTTACATTTATAGCTACAACAAAGTGGTTTGTCCTCGTGTACAAGTAAAGGGAAACATTGCGTCGTTCATTGGGCTCAGCTGGGTGCGGTCGACGTTGCAACTCGCAATAAGCACTCAGGTTTCGATACAAGTAGCGATTAGTATTGAAGATGTTTTAGGAGAATATTCGACAAATATATTTTTCTTTCCTTTTGTTTTCATTGAAGAATATAGAATAATTTATGACTGGAACGTACTCGTATTACTGTCATATAGGTAGTTACGAAATCACTAAGTAGATGCCAATTTATCAACAGTTATTACTTGTTTTTGGTTTGTTCATCACGATTCTTTCAATTCTACTTTTTCCTTTTTCGAACGCAATATCTGTCAGTACCGTGTCGTTACATTCCACGAAACTAAGCGTTTGCACTGCTCGTTGGAAATCTTCAATGACGCGATCGTATTGCACTATCGCTTCTCATCCGTCTAGAGTCGATTACAGAAAGCCATTTCTTATTACTCACACCCGCGTCGTACAGCGGTGATATTTGTAGTCGCCGATTACGCCGTCTGTCGATCTTGCCGGGACAGAGCCGTTTTCGTAGTACCGAAAGCGAAAGTTTCACACGGCCACTATTTTAATAAGAACGTAACGAAGAAATATTCGCGCCACAAATTGTGTGACACGTAATAAAACTGTCTCATAAAGTTTTGCCCGCGCTGTCCGGTGCTTCGGTAAGACGCGACCTCGAGCGGGCGACGCAGCACGGCGGCGCTAGCTATATTGTCGACATAAATCTCGGTGGCCTCCAAAGAGCTTCTGTTTTACGACTAAAGGTATTAACAGACGCGCCGCAGCCTCCCCGATAATGTAATCGAATCTTGGCAATGCAACTTTATCAACGTACATTTTAGGTACAGACAGTACTATCAGACCAGGATGTCTGCTGACACGTTTGTAGGTATTTAATTCAGCATTTTATAGCCTTAATAGTCTGAAAGGGGAGTCGACATGGTGGGCCGAACCCTTTCCTCGGTCTCCAGATTCGCGATTTAAATAGACCTTCAATATTATATTACCCTCGTCGACATTAGTTCTCAAATAGGGGACTATTAGATTAGTTTAGTTTGGACGCGGGGCGGGCGGCTCAGCTGAAAAATACCACCCTGAGCTTTCCAATATCTCGACGACGCGACGAGGATGAGGCGAGCAATATTTCTGATATCGGGCTCCTCCGCAAATATTTCTATCGGGAGTTGGAGTGCCGCATTTTATTTACGGCTCGTGTCTAAACGAGAATAAAGTTTACGGATCGGCGCGAAAAGGTCGGCCGAAGGCGCACGCGATCTGCGCCGGCGGTTCGGATGGGTTCCATCTCTGCCACTATTTCTATCGATTACGAATGCGTCAGTTATCGAACTGAAAGCATGATTTAATGCCGTTACTCATGATTGCCTGCCGTCAATAGCATAATTGCAAAATTAGACCATACGACGTTGCCTAATGCGATGATCATCTCGTATACAGGGTTGGATTAGACGCGATCACTTTTTAAAAATATTGCTATTTGAAAATTGTCTGATCTTGAGAGACAGGTTTTCGTTCCATTTAGTAATTTGCATTATAATTGTTTTTTATTTATTCTACACTGTAGCAAGTGTTAACAACAAATAAAAAATGATGGGCATTTCAAGCGGACATGTAAAAGGTAATTAAATATGTTCGTACAACAAAGCAGCCTAGTAACAACTAACTAAAGGCTTCGCGTACAGACATTCCGTTCAATTGTCCCATACAACACCCACGCCTAGTTACGAGTTCGTAAACTAGAGACATCGCTTTATTTCAGCCTCCACGCTTCTACAAATCAATATTTGTATCCACGTTGTGTTATGGTCAATGAAAAATAATACTAAAGCTACGGGTGGAACCGTGATAGTGCCAGCAAAGTGAAAAATTTAATGTGAATTTTGGAATTTTGCGCGAATTTGCTTTAATTATCCGTGTGGTATATGGTTTTCTATGGCAACGGAATATATTTACGATTTTATGTCGACTTTGCCGTTTGTCTCACGAAATTTCGATAAGGATTCTTCTTTTCTTTTTCAAAATTGAAGAATTTTGAAGGTTTGCTTATTGTTCAAGTCTGCGGTCGAATTAAATAAAGATTATAATTATAGGCTCCGATTAATAAATTGACTAAATGATACTTTTCGTATTAGTTAGTGCAATTCCGAATCGTCAATATCGCAACATTACTCAAACGGACACCGTTTTGCATTTCCTTGCGCAATGCATACGTATAGAGGTCCGGGTTTAGCCTTTACCACTGGGTCAGTGAGTCTTCGTTACTCAAGCGTGTTGATGATTCATTTCCTTACAAAAATTATGAGCGAAATTCCATATCCGGCTATCGGGTCGCGGGCATCTGTATCAATGTAATAGTATAGATTCGCAGGAATGAGATAAATAAGGACATTAGCGTATGTTGCGGATGACACACTGGGCCCAGCATGTCTTGGATGTACAGGTTGTCAAAATTAATCTTTTCTATACTTTTAAAGCGTCACACTCTGAGATTTATGATTGATTAATTAATTAATCAGTCGCGTATTTGAATTATGTAATAATATTGTGCAAGTACTTTTTTGATGCGAAATATTAAATTGAAACTAGTGGAACTGCAGGATCTTATTGAGTTAGTGGTGAGAGAATGTCGTCGGCCAACAACGTTGCACTGGCCGGGCTCGATCCAGGGTTGTCGCTGTATGATCTTGTATCTTCGCATAATTATGCATACTTATATAACGTACATATTATTTGTTGTTTTACAAAAGACAGTCTAAGCAATGGATTATTTTTAGTTAAAAAACGTTATAAATGCAAAATATTTTATTTATCAAATCTCTCAAAATCAATTGTGGTTTTGATAAACTAAACGTAAATAAACGTCATATCTGATATGGTAAAACGACGACAGCCCTCGCGTCTGTGTGTCGCGCGACTGACCTCTAATGCACTCAGTAACAATGTTAGGGACACTTCTCTCAGACGACACTAATTGCTGCGAATAGTCGCCGTCGCACAATGATACCAAGCTTAATGGTGGAAAGGACTCTTCGGCATCTCTTATTATTTATTACTAGGTATATATTATATAGTATAGAAGAGAGAATACAAGCAAACGATGAAGGCTTTGGGAATATTCTATTGATGGATGTAATTTTACTTATTTCATATAAAACAAATAAGTTTAATTCATTTCGCGTTTTCAACCGTAAGTGTGGAATTATAGACAGCCAGAAATGTGTAGATTCGTGTGGGTCGCCTAATTGCTGGCACACTCACTCGTCTAAGAATCCTGGTCAGGCCAAAGATCGATCTTTATGAGGAAATCCGCCCGCACAAATTATGCCTCATTACATTGCTTAGGTTACATTGCGCTAATCCTCGCAAGTGGGCAAAAACTCACGCCACTTATACCTCTGGCAAATGAAGAAGGAACTTTTTTATTAGAATGTATTTTTTTCATTAATGTTATCGCAACACATTACTAGTCCAGGTGCGCTCGGTTAACTTAGCGAAATACGAACTTTAAAAGTACAAACGACCTCTCCTAGGCGAACGATTATATTCCCTGAATGTATGGGGGGATAGACGGCCGTAGGAGAATCAATATTACGCTGAATGATGGCTGCAGTCTGCACTGTGCACGCACTGCGGACGTTTCTCCTTTGTCGCGGAAAATCGCATTTAAACCGGAACATAGTTCAAGTTAAGAGGCCTCTTCGGAGTTTGGTCAATGCAATTCCTAACTGTACTGATGTGTTTATAAACTAGGTTTTCGGGATGTTCAGTAACAGACCAAGAGGGGCAAAATAATTAAATGTGTGAAAATATTTATTTATTATTGCTTTATTATTTATAAAACACACACATAATTGTACCCACACATAAATGTTGCGTTCTTTGTTTGATTAGGCTATTTGATTACGTACTCAGTACTCACTTGGTCTATATCGCACTAATATTACAATTTACTAATCATTATAAAAAGCTGAGTCGTACTTTACATGACAATGGGACGATTCCGAGAACCCATAGCTTTCTATAAACACGTGAGGTAATTGAAACGTAATATTTGAAAGTGTTGCGCAAATGACGAGGCAACGTGGCCTCTATTTAGTGATGTAGGTAGTACTCGTACGCACTCGCCACTCTGCAAGTCTGCAGCTCGTCAATCGATTTAGGTTAGCGGCGCAAGCGCATTTCGTACACAGTTTATTAGCTCGTTGCAACATAGTATAT